TTTGAGAAAAGAATGTGCATATTGTTGAAAGTTAATGTATATTATATGAGTAAATTCATATATCACTGTGAAAAAGGTTTCGGAACTATTTGCAAGATTGTATAACATCGTGTAAATTTCAGTTATTCTTAAAGATGATGTCGTTTCTTTAGTTCATCATAAGCTTAACTCTGCAAATCTGCTTTCGTAGGTTGCAGAGAAAGTTGCCAAAGGAGAACTCGATTCTGCATTTGCTATTGTAAGGCCTCCAGGTCATCATGCTGAAGAAACTGAACCCATGGGTTTTTGCCTGTACAACAATATTGCTATTGCCGCAAGTTTTCTTTTGAACAGAAGAGTGAGAGCTTAATGTGATTTTTTCTAATGCTTTTGTTTTTATCTGCATGTTAAATTAATGTTTCGCTCTGTTGTACATTGTAGCCAAAGTTGGGTGTCGGCAAGATATTGATTGTAGATTGGGATGTACATCATGGTAATGGTACTCAGAAGATGTTCTACGAAGATCCCCGAGTACTTACCTTCTCCGTACATAGGTATCGAATATTAAAATGAATATTTACGTTAAAATCTAAAACTTGAAAATATTGTTAGAAATAATTTGTTTCATGTATCCTAAATATCGTCTTGTGTGTGTGCGTTTGTGCTGCTTCCTTATTCAATTATGTGCGACTTTTTGCATTTATGTTATTTTTGTATTGCCGCTGTCTTTATCATATCCATACATTTTATCGTGTTTTTATAGAAATAATTAGGGGTTTTATGAAAATTGTCACTTGCAAATTACATCTTACATATTTCTTTAACGGGCTTAATACACTATGAAAAATTAAAATATGTGTCTCGACCAGGCATGATTCTGGGGAATTCTATCCATATGGGAATGACGGGTCGTATAGCATGATTGGAGAAGGTGCAGGTGCTGGATACAATATTAATGTACCTTGGGAAAATGATTTGTGCGGAGATGCTGATTATTTTGCCGTGTGGGACCATATATTAATTCCCGTTGCTAGGAAATTCAATCCTGACTTGATAATGGTCGCTGCAGGATTTGACGCAGGTTAGCTTAAATTTTCCTAATAAATTGCCGTTGATCAGTTTTAATGCACATTTTGTGTCATCGTGCACTTCCGTATGTATTTAGTATTAAACAAAAATAATTGTACGCCTTTCCATTACTCGTGCATGCATACGTATATGCTTGATCGTCTTCATTATCGATTCAGACTAATACTATTTACGTTGTTGATTTGAACAGCCTTAGGCGATCCTCTTGGAGGCTGTTGTCTTAGTCCGTACGCATATTCAGTTATGCTCCGCAAGGTTTGAGCTTCACCATTATCATAAAAGTTAAATATATTGTGTTTTTTTTTTTTTTTTTTTTTTTATCATTTCTTTATTATCTGCTCTTAAACTATATTTGACTATACATTATTTAAATTAATTTTCACGAAGTGAGATTAGAAAGATTACTTATTGGGTGCTGTTGATGTTTTATTATTTAGTTGATGGATATTTCGCGGGGTAAGAATATTGTTTTGGCACTCGAAGGAGGATACAATCTTGTTTCCTTAGCAAAATCAGCCCAAGCTTGTGTCGAAGTATTACTACAAGACAAGCCTCTTACGAGGTCCTCGGTGGATCTTCCACTTAAATCAACAGCACTTGTGATACGAACAGTAAGTACTTAGGTTTCCGGATTGTTTATTAAGAGATAATATTATTTTTTTTTAATTATCTTAAACATAAATGTTATTTTGCTTAGGTACGCCAAGCGGTAAGCAGATATTGGCCGGTTCTTGCTTCTGAATTAACGGACCAAGTAATCAATAGCAGTCGAAGACCATCATCACAAACTGAGGTCCAACTTTTGCTTGTGTAATGCTGCTAAGGATGTCAGAACTTAATATAATATATTTCGAGACCATGCAATTTTGGTTTTTTTTTTTTTTCCGAAGTTGATGTTGGAATTCCGCATTTTTATCCAGGATGTAGCGGATACCTCCACCTCTAGTGCGATGACGAATTCAAAAGGTGAACAGGTTTGTAGTGCTGAGAGAAAAAACGACAAAAAAAAGAACGTAGCAGGTAATTCTTTGCGATGTATAACTTGTTCTTCTATTTTTTGACAAAACAGTTAGTTTTTGAGTGCTATAGATTGGCCAGCACTATCTCTTTTTGTACATCACCGACATATTCTAAATTTGAGATTGCACGTAAATCATAAAATTTCGTTGAAGGTGCGCTCGTGGGAAAAAAAAACGCCCTTTCACCTTCTCGCCCATCCGTTCCTATATATACTTCATCCATTCCCCTAATGATAGTGATTTGGTCCGTGAGTCCTTCTTCGAGGCCTGAGCTGGTCTTTAGATGGGAGTACCTGCAACGCCGGGGGGTGATCCCGGCGGGAAAATTCCGACGATCAAGTTAGTTGTGTGTGTAAGATATTGTAATTTGCTATTACGTGAAAAGTGTATGTAAAGAGATGTCCCTTGTTTCTTGGGGTGTCTCTATTTATAGATGTTCATTTCTTGGCCTCCAAGGTTTCCTTTTTTAGGGTTTCTCTTTTCTCAAGTTATGTTTCTTGGGCCTCACAATTTGGGCTTGCTTAGGGTTTATATAATTTTTCTTTCTTCGATGCTGAACTTCGATTTCCTTCGACATTTGTTGCGAGTAAAGGTATCTCGAAGTTTTAAGTCGTTTTATTAGGTCACAGTTCGGTATCTTTTTCCGTTGTGGTAAATCGACTTTTCTCGGTTCGTACTTACTTACTTCGGTCAGAATGGCCCGTATCAACTACTCCCCCTACTCCTTATTTATAAGACGAGTTCGCTGTTTCTTTCTCGTGTTATAAGTATGGAGTATGAAGTGTTAATTCGTGCCTTGCTTACTTTCGGCGGATGCACGCGCGTCCCCTTTTAATTAATGATTCTGACATCATGCGTGGGCGATTCGAGTTCCCTAGGTTATTATTGCGAGACTCCAACGGGTGCTTTTTTGCTAAATTCGAGGCATCTGTATTGAATCGTGCCCGTCCGTACGGGCGGCTAGGATTTATTCTCTCATTTCTCTCCTTCCTATAAATATTTGCCTTCTGCGAATTTCCAAATTTTTTCCCCTTTCTACCTTCGTATTCTTCCTCTTGATAATTTTTCGGTGATTTGCTTTCGAAACAGAGCCCTTGCTTCCCGTGTCCGTCTTTCCTCCCAACGAAGGTATTTTTCTTTCCTTTATTTCGTCAATTCTATCTTTTCCTGCCATTCCTACATATATGTCTTCTTATTCCCCTGAACCTTTCGGCCAAAAAATGCCATCCGGCCACTCCTCCGGAGGGGGAGATGAGCATCCTGCCCTCACCATTTCTTCCTCTTCGGAGGAATGACCTTTCTTCTCTCGGGTAAACTTTTGAGTGATTCTAAAAAGAAGGTTAGGGATGATCTTCTGTCCTCAGCAAGGAGTGGTTCTCCTTCACTGTCCGAGGGACGAGATCCGGATGATCAGTGGGGGCCTAGCACTCTGAGCGAGATGGATTTGGTCAACTTAGCTCACGACATAGGTTTTCCTGCTGACATCGAGCTAGTTCTCCCTTCTCGGGACGAACGCCCATTAAATCCTCCCCCGGGCTTCAGTACAGGTTTTCAGAACAATTTTACTTCGGCCTCTCTTTTCCCATCTCGCCTTGGTTTTCTGAAATCGCCCAAATATGTAATGTGTCCCTTAACCAATTTCATCCTCACGCTATAATTGTCATGACTGGGTTTCACATGCTTTGTGCCTGGTCCGGGGTAATCCCTACTCCGACTCGGTTCCGAAGTGTCATAGTGTTGAAAAACTCCAGTCCTTTCCATATCTCGATCTCTGCTCGCCCAGGCTTCAAAGTGCTAATGCCGCGCTCAATAAAACAGATGGGTGGCAAGGCCATTATTTCTTTGCTAAAAACCCCACCAATACTCCTTACCTATGTCCTTGGGTCGCTACTTTACCCGAAAGAAAGAAGGGGAAACCCCTATCCATTGATGACTGGCTTTTGAAAATGATCACCCATTTTCAACCGAGCTACAGTCTTCCTGATAGCCTTACAAGTTTTCCGCCGATGCTTCGCCACTTCTACTTTCATGACAACGGCACTCACGCTTTAACCCAAGCAGACTTAGGTGGGTCTAGACATGTTGCTAGTCTTACCTTGGCTTATTATTCGTTTTGATTTTCCATTTTGGTGTTCCCTATTCGGTTATGCTTATATTTGTTTGGTTTTGACAGTTATTTACTTCGTTTTTCCTATCTTGTGGACAGATCTAAGGATGAAGAGAATGTTCCGAGACAGTAAATCAGCGGCTCGCCCCTCTGCGCCGGAGTCCGGGTTCCAGGCGTCGGATTTCCAACGCCCTTTGGCTGTCGAATCCGATAAGAGGCTCCCGGAGGAGAGTGTTTCAAAATCGAAAACCGCTAGAAAGAATGTCGGGCCCACGTGCCTACGAGGTGGATTACGGATTGAGGACTCCGACCCCCCTCAACAGTCATCGGCTTTAGTTGTGGCCTCCTCCTCGCTGCCCCCTACCACCGAGGAGACCTCAGAGAAAGAGTCTTCTTCGAAGAAGAGGAAGACAGATCAGGCCCTTGGGCCAATTGGTTCGCATCCCCTCCCTAACTTCGCCCTTCATCTCTGTCAGAACGCGGAGAACGCCATTGCCGCGTGTCGGGCTTTAGCTTTTCCCCGAGATGTCGCCTACTATTGTCAGATGAGTAAAGGCGACAGACTCGAGCTGCTTCTGCACAACATCACTCAGGTCGGTGACAGTTAATTTTCATATATGCCAGTCAATATTATCATTGCACCTTTGTTCGCAGCTAACTTTATTTGAATTTCTTGTATGTGTAGCAATTTGCTATCGCCTTCTCGGGCCCCCTAGGATGGGACGACGTTTCTCGGGAAGAGTACGATAACCAGAAGAAGGAGGTTACCCAACTTCGAAAAGAAGTTCGAGCTTTGAAGGAGAGCTTAGCGTTGGCGGAGTCGTCCAAAGAGGGGTTGTTCGCGGACGTAAAGCGAGAGCAGGAAGAGAAAAAGATCCTGCAGGCAGAGAAGAACTCACTGGCATCGCATAATGCCAGTTTGGAAGAGAAGTTGAAAGTATTGACCAACGAACTCTTTGTCGCCGGGGTGCAGGCGTCTTCCAACTTCACCGAGGGTGTCAATGAAGGGCATAGGCTGTTCCCGGGGTCATCAGAGGGGTTCCGCTTCATGCAAGAATTCGTTCGCCGTTTCTTTCACCGTCTATGGCGTTCGACAACCTTTACTCGAGAAGCATCGAACTTAGCTCGTTTCTTCTTCTCGGCCGCAGTCAAGGCTGTCCAAAAACGGTTGAGTGGCGCTAGTATTGAGTTTCCGTTGATCGAGGCTGAGCTCGCTGAAGACCTTCCAGATGACGAGATTCCGGGCTTCGAGGGGGATGTGAATGAAGACCCCGACTTAGAATGGTGGGAACAAGTGTATTGGGAGCTCATTGAGGATTTTTCTCGTTAAGGGACATCGTCAGTGATCATTACTGACTATGTTGGTGACGTAGAGACCGTTGAGGCGGTGGCCAGCCTAAACGAGGCACGATCGAATCGTGTCTTAACCCTGACTCCTCCCGTGGATAACCCAAACGAGGCAAGGACGGACCCCTCTGAGACGAGAAGTGAAAATGTTTAGGCTGTATGTTTGTAGTTGTTTGAACCATGTATTTTTTTATTCTGTTTTTATTTCTTGTTTTGAACAATGTTTTTTTCCCTTAATTATGTGTGATCTCTTTTTGTACGACGTACTTTACTTCAATATCTCATTCGTTTAACTTGTGTTTTTTATTTTATATCTTTATTCAAACCTCATTTCTATATATCCATCATGCTGTTTTAGATAGTTATTCAAAGAACCTTTTCGATCAGCTCGGTTAGACATCCTTTCTGCAGACTTTAGTCATTTTTGTCTCGAGGTAGGAGTCATTTTTAGACTTCAGTGATTCTTTCGAGTTCACTTATTGGATCGTGTTGTGTTTTTAACTTAGCTTGGTTTGACTTTGCTTCACTTTTAAATCAAGTTATTTTCTTGACCTGCTTGGTTTGGCGATCATCTGGTCTAGTATTAACTTAGCTCGACTTCTTAACTCAATTTTGGCTTGATTTAACGACTTGTTTCCAAGTCGGATTTTCTCGATTTCTCGACTCGTTGATAATTTAACTCGACTTAACGACTTGTTTCATAGTTAGGTTTGCTCGATTTCTCGACTCATTGATAATTTAGCTCGATTTAACGACTCGTTTCATAGTTGGATTTGTTCGATTTCTCGACTCGTTGATAATTTGAGCTCGATTTAACGACTCGTTTCATAATTAGGTTTGCTCGATTTCTCGACTCGTTGGTAATTTAGCTCGATTTAATCGACTCGTTGATAATTTAGCTCGATTTAACGACTCGTTTCATAATTAGGTTTGCTCGATTTAATCGACTCGTTTCGTAGGTAGGTCTGCTCGATTTCTCGACTCGTTGATAATTTTAGCTCGATTTAACGACTCGTTTCGTAGGTAGGTCTGCTCGATTTCTCGACTCGTTGATAATTTTAGCTCGATTTAACGACTCGTTTCGTAGGTAGGTCTGCTTGATTTCTCGACTAATAAATGACATAAATATTTTTTAACGTGGAAACCCTCCAAATAAGGAGAGAAAAAACCACCGGGCCTGGCCCAACTCGGAAATAGTGTGTTTATTGATTGTATTTGCTTACAAAGTATGTTCTCCCTCTACTCTCCTACTCTTTCTCTCTCTTTTTTTTTTTTACGCGAAGAAGCGTTTCAAATGGACTATGTTCCATGCTCGTGGCAGAGCTTTTCCTTCTATGTCTGCCAATTCGTATCTGCCACCCGCCAAGCACTTGGTGACCGTATACGGACCTTCCCAAATTGCCAATCTGGAAAATACGAGACCGGACTCCCTGATCATACCGAGCCTTGATCAAGTTCTTACTTCGTTCCATATGCAGATATGCCTCATCTCGTAAGTCAAAAACTTCGTTCAACTGTGCTCTCAAAGTATCATCGTTTGTCTTATCGTCAAACGTGGCTATGCGGAGTGTATCTAGTGCCACCTCGACTGAGATAACTGCTTCAGTTCCATAAGTTAGTCGGAAGGGCGTTTCGCCAGTGGCAGCCTTGGCAGTTGTTCGATAGGACCATAGAACCGAAGGTATCTCGTCCACCCAACTTCCTCCCAGCTCATCTATCCTTTTTTTGAAGCCATTGACTATAGTCCGGTTCGTGGATTCTACTTGCCCGTTGGCTTGAGGATGCGCGACTGCGACAAACTTTTGTGTGATTTTCATTTCCTTGCACCAAGCTCGGATCTTTTTCCCATTAAACTGGGTGCCATTGTCTGACACGAGGCTCCGAGGTAAGCCAAACGGCAGTAGATATTCTTCCTTATAAAGTGCATGACTTCATTCTCTGATATTTTCGATAAGGCCTCCGCTTCGACCGACCCACTTGGTGAAATAATCCACTGCGATAATAAGGAACTTTTTTCTGCCACTTGTTTGCGGAAAAGGCCCTACCAAATCAATCCCCCATTGTGCGAATGGGCATGGGGCACTCATGATGATCATTTCTTCTCCCGGCCTATGTATGAGCGGGGCAAACTTCTGGCATTGCTCGCATCGTCTGACGTAGCGATGAGCGTCTTCTTTCATGCCGGGCCAGTAATATCCGGCTCGATATAATTTATGTATAAGCGCTTGAGCCCCTCCGTGTTCACCACAGCCTCCCCTATGTACCTCATCGAGGACATGCCCTATTTCTTTCTTTCCCAAGCACCTCGCATTGACCGTGGTAAGACTTCTTTTGTATAATATTCCACGCCGCACATAGAAATGCCGAGCTCTGTATTCGAAGTGGTGTTGTTCCCTGGCTTTCCCGATTCGTTCTCCCCGGAAATATGCGAATAAAGGGGCTCGCCAATCGATTTCTTCTTCTTCGAGCATCATGAATCCGGGAATCGGGTGGGAGCAATAAGGATAGATATTTTTCTTTCAACGCAGTCGATAACCAACGACCCGATTTTAGCGAGGAAATCAGCTCGTTGGTTGTTGGTCCTCGAGATCTGACATATAGTACATACTTCAAAGGCTTCTCGAACAGTCCTTGCTTTGTTTACGTAATTCCGCATTCTATCGTTTTTTACCTCATAATCTCATTCTAACTGATGTATCACAAGCTGGGAATCGGAATTTACACGCACTACTCGGGCGCCGAGCTCTTGAGCGATTTCCATGCCTCGAATGACAGCTTCGTATTCGGCCTCATTATTCGAAACTCGTGGCAATTTGATAGGGAACTCGAGCTCTATTCCCATAGGATCGATGACTATGACTCCTGCTCCCGCGCCTGACGCCGTAGAGGATCCATCTACATAAAATTCCCACTCCTTCTCAATAGGTATTCTCGTGGTTTCTCGAATAAAGTCCACTAATGCTTGTCCTTTCACCGAAGTACGGGGCTGATACTGGATCTCATATTGTCCTAACTCAACGGCCCATTTAACAATGCGTCCGGACGCCGTTGGTTGACCCAAGGTTTGACGGAGTGGCAAACTCGTACGAATTACAATAGTGTGTGATAAAAAGTAAGGTCGAAGGCGCCGCGTGGTAAGGATCCTGCTAATGTAGTAGATTGGCAATTGTCGGTTATTTACTTCTTTGAATAGGACTGCGCTAACAACTTCTTCTCCCACGGATAGGTATACGAAAAGTGTCTCGCTTCTTTCGGGGGTGCTGAGGATGGGTAAGCGAGATAGCGATACTTTTAATGCCTCGAAAGCGAGTTGGCACTCGTCAGACCATTCGAACTGGGCAGCCTTTCTCAAGACTTTAAAGAAGGGTAAGCTTGTATCGGCCATTCGCGATATGAAGCGAGCCAAGGCTACCATTTTTCCTGCTAAGGACTGTACTTCTTTGATGGAACGAGGTGGTGTCATCCGGAGTACTGCCTCTACTTTGTCCTGATTTACCTTGATGCCTTCTTGAGTAATTACATACCCAAGAAATTTTCCAGCCTTAACCCTAAATGCACATTTTTCCGGGTTAAACTTCATCCCATAAAGGCGAAGAGTGGCGAATGTCTCAGCCAAGTCGGCGAGGTGTGTCGAACACCTCTTGCTTTTAACCAACATATTGTCTACATAGACTTCTATGTTACGCCCGAGCTGGGCCCGGAACATCTTATCCATCAACCTTTGGTATGTAGCCCTGGCATTCTTTAAGCCGAATGTCATTACTACATAGCAGTAAGTGCCGGTAGCTGTGATAAAACAGACTGCGGATTGATTCTTTCTCGTCTAATGGGATCTGATGGTACCGTTGTGAAGCATCCATCATGCTGAGTAATTCGCACCCGGCTGTGGCGTCTACGAGCTGATCTATACGAGGTAAGGGGTAATCGTCCTTAGGGCATGCCTTGTTCAAGTCTCGGAAGTCAATGCACATCCTCCACTGCCCGCTGGCTTTCTGGACTAGTACTGCATTAGATAACCACGTAGGAAATTGTATTTCCCGAATATGTCCGATGCCCAAAAGTCGCTGGACCTCTCGTTTGATGATTTCATCATTCTCGGCCCCGAAGTGTCGCCGCTTTTGTTTGATGGGTTTACATTCGGGTCGTAAGTTAAGTCTATGCACGACGGTGCGAGGTGCGATGCCAGTCAGGTCGCTCGGTTGCCAAGCGAAAACATCCATATTAGACCTTAACAGCGTTACCAGCTTATCTCGGAATGACGGTTCTAAGTCTTTACTTATCCGGGTTCGCTTGGACGTCCCAGGGAGCAGGTCGATTATCATTAGCTCGTCCATTGGTGCGAGGTGCGATGCCAGTCAGGTCGTAAGTTAAGTCGGGGGTGTTTCTCATCTCCCAGATCTTCCTTAATGAGGGTACCACGTCGTCCCCTTTTTCTGCCATTTTGACCATTTCGACGTAACAAGATCTTGATTGGGCTTGGTCACATCTGACTTCTTCTATCGCCCCGTCCACAGGGAATTTGAGCTTTTGGTGTATAGTAGAGGGGACTGCCCGGAAGATATGCATCATTGGTCGGCCTATCACGATGTTATACGAGGCAGGGGATCCCTCGATAATCACGAAATTAACGGTTTGTGTCCGCGTGCGAGGTGGCGTCCCGATGGTGACTGGGATTTTAACCTGCCCGACCGGTGTCAAGGATCCTCCCGTAAACCCGAATATCGGGGTAGTGACTGGGAAGATTGGGAGGTCGAGCTCCATCTGCCGGAAACAATCATAGGAGATAACATCAACAGAACTCCCCGAGTCGACGAAAGCGCGAGCCATGTCATATCCGCCCACGTTAATTGTAATGAGAAGGGGGTCGCAGTGAAAATCATCAAGGTCTACGGCATCCTCTGGTCCAAACGAGATAAGGGGATATTTATGACACGCCATCTCAGAGATCCGACATATCTCATGGTTATTCTTAATATCACCGAGGTGACGCCTTCTAGCGCGGTGGGTGTCTCCTCCCGTGGGTCCTCCCGAAATCATTTGGATATATCCTCGTTTTGGCATCAGGGGCGGGGGAGGAACCCGGGCCGGAATTCCGAACTGGGCCTCGCGTTTTTGTCCTCGTGGGGGATCTATTTTCACAAAATCCCCAATTTTGTTATCTCTGATAAGACGCTCCACCTCATCTTTCAAATGTGAACACTCGTTCGTCGTGTGGCCATACTCATTATGGAAGCGACAAAAGGTACCCAAAGCAGGACTTCGGCGGAGCTCCTCTCGAGCAAACCGAGGCCAGCGGAGGTCGTTTCTCTTCTCAATGGCGCACAAGGCATTAGATAAGGGGGCTGTGAGGGGCTGGTATGACTGATACCGGGGGCCCTTAGTGTCTGGAGCACCATTTCGGCCGGATGTCGTATCTCTTCGCGGCAAGATGGGTTCCTTATTCTTCCTTATCTCGTTTGACCTTAAACTTATGGCCTGATGAGATTCTTCTATCTTTTGTTGTCGAGCCTCCTCTAGGTTGATGAATCTAGATGCTCTTCCCAACAAGTTGTCGAAATCAGGCGACGGTTCCAATGCCAAGGCTCGAAAAAATTCGTCGTCCCTCAATCCTTGCGATAGGGCGGCCATTAGTACTTCGTCGCTAGTGGTGGGAACCTCTAGAGTTGCCGAGGTGAAACGCTTAATATAATTTCGGAGACTCTCCTTCTCCCTCTGTCGAATGCTGAATAATGACAGCGAGGTTTTCTTACATTTTTTCGAGCTGGCGAACTGGTTCATGAAGGCTTTGGTAAACTGCCCAAATGAGTGTATGCTTCCCTGCGGCAGTAGGCCGAACCAGGCCTGAGCCGGCCCGGCCAGAGTAGTGACAAAAGCTCGGCACTTCACCCCCTCAGTGAGCTGGTGGAGAGAGGTCGTATTGTTAAATCGGCTCAAATGCTTAGCAGGATCTGATGTGCCATTATATTCGAACAAAATGGGTCGATAGTTCGGTGGTATGGGATCATCGTCGATGTGCTTGGCGAACGGACTAGTTCCCTCGAAGGTCCGTTTTAGGCCGCTTCGCAAGGCCTTCAATTCATTTATATCTCGCCTTAAGCTGTCGACCTCGGTCCGGACATCCTGACTGTCACCTCCTTTACTTTCGGAATAACTGTTGCACTCGTTTTCGGGTCGCTGTTCGTTTGCAGGACGTCTGAGATCTCGTTTGGGTCTATTTTCTTGGGGCAAAGAATGGGCATAGTTTTTTATGGCCGCGGTGATCATCGCCTCTACCTCATTCTTGGTATACACGCGTTCGTTAGTGGGGAGCGGAACAGGGATAGGAGACATGACCGACTTCTTGGGAGCGGGCTCGCCATGCTGAAATTCAAAAGAATGACCGTCAGATAGGGGGAGAGTCTGGCCCTCTTTCGCGGGTGTAATTGTGCTGCCGCCCGATTTATCCTTCCAGACAGGTGATGATTCAGTGATGGGTGCCTCGCGAGCTGCTGCGTCCAATTCTTTTTGTAAGTTCTGAATAATGGTGTCCCTTTGTTCCATTTTCTCTACGTCTATGACTCAGATCTGGACTTCCGGGGTAGATATGGTGTTTTTCCCGGAAGTTATGTACTCAAGAATTCAGGTCGTTCCCACAGACGGCGCCACTTGATTTGGTTCGTGAGTCCTTCTTCTTCTTCGAGGCCCGAGCGGGTCTTCAGATGGGAGTACCTGCAACGCCGGGGGTGATCCCGGCGGGAAAACTCCGACGATCAAGTCAGTTTTGTGTGTAAGATATTGTAATTTGCTATTACGTGAAAAGTGTATGTAAAGAGATGTCCCTTGTTTCTTGGGGTGTCTCCTATAAATTATTTATAGATGTTCATTTCTTGGCCTCCAAGGTTTCCTTTTTTAGGGCCTCACAATTTGGGCTTGCATAGGGTTTATATAATTTTTCTTCCTTCGATGCTGAACTTCGATTTCCTTTGACATTTGTTGCGAGTAAAGGTATCTCGAAGTTTTAAGTCGTTTTATTAGGTCACAGTTCGGTATCTTTTTCCGATGCGGTAAATCGACTTTTCTCAGTTCGTACGTACTTACTTCGGTCAGAATGGCCCGTATCAGATAGCAAATCACAACTCACCTTTTACGCGGTCGTTCTGCCGCCGCGTCTGTTTGTTGAGATTTGCTTTGGGAGTATCCACGCGCCGGCCATACCTCGCTCTCCGACTATCTCTTCGCCTATATAGGAGAATTAATTTCAGGTATCTTCTCCATCCTCTCGTGCCTTACTTCTACCTCTCCTCCATCTTTCCCACATTTTCTTTTGTCTTGGATTCCGTTTCCGGTACTTTCCCTACTGCCCTTGCCTTGCCTTTCTTATACACATGACTACCCCTGCGTCCGCTGTTGGAGGCAAGCACCATTCATCGGTGCTCGCCCCTGGTCTTTGCACTTCTTCTCACGCGACCAACGAACAATGCGTTACACACGAACGAATCCAACCCTTCACATGTTCCTTCCGAATCTCGACCGGAGTCGTCGAAATGGAAATCGAAAAGCAAAAAAAGGAGTGGGTTCCTCCTCGCTCACTCATCAAAAGCAGTCACCTGGACAAATTGATGTATGACGTCGGGGCCCCTCCTGGGTATGCTATCATAAGTCCAGGCGAGGATGATCGAGCCCATCTGCCTCCTCCTAAAGCGATCACCTTTCACCTCGGTCTACGGTGGCTGAGCCAAAAAGCGGCCCCCTATCGTAACATAAGTATAAGTTTTGCTTTGTTATTATTTTTTTTATTGCGTGAGCCTCGCTCAATCATTTTTGCTAACTATATGATTCGCAGGGATGGAGATCAGTCATTTGTTCTACGGCGATGCGGAGACGTTTGATGCCCTGCCGGAAGGTCGCGCCGAGCCAATAATCCCTACTCATATAGTTGATCTCCCGAGGCCCCCCGAGACCCTGCCAGAGGTCCCAGATGATGTCATGGTGGTGGCAAAGATGGACACCTCTAAGAAAAGGGGCAAGAAGAATGCTGATCCGGCTACGAGCTCGCGTAAAAGGAGCAGAGCCAGCTCGACTCGTAGATCGCCCGCGGCGATTATCGCGGGCTCTGGGTCTCGGGCTCAAGCCCAGCTCGGCCCGGTCCCTGTGCGTGAGGGATTTGCTTTTGCCCGAGTGTGAAGATGCTGCGGAGATCGGCAGGGTTCTTCGCGAGATTGCGATTTGCTAGGGAAGATGAAGTTAGAGGACCGTCTTAACTTGTCTGACTATTATATTGGCAAGGTAGCATGGTCACCCACTTGGTTTCCTCCCCTCCTTTTTTTTTTTATTTTTTTTAACTATTGGTGTCTTGTGTAGTTACAAAATGTGTGGGCGACCTGCCCAAGCCAGAGTGACGACACATTGCGCGAGGCGTATGAGCGCCTGAAGAAGAAAGAGGACGTCTGCGGGCCGACAAGAATAAGCTGGAGAAAGAACTCGAGGCTTTGACTGAAGAAGTGGAATCCACTCGCATGGAGAAGAAGTCGCTGCATGAGAAAGTGGTGGAGTTAGAGAAGGAGCAAAAACACTTGTTGGACCAGCTGGCTGAGGCAATGGATCATTCGGCCAAAAACTACGAAGCCGGTCGCAGTGCTGGTCAGGACGAATTTCTCCATACTCCTCGCGGGATCTAGTTTCGAGATTGATACGGGCCACTGTGACGAGACGAATAAATACAAACTGAGAAGAGTTAATTTACTATTACAAGACACGATGTCGGACTGCGACCTCCGAATGACGAGCTGGCAACGCCATGACTCGTATTCCAGTATGAGCATGACCTAAAGCAGGCCCAATAAGAGAGGCCCAAAACACTTGACTTGAGGGGGGAGCAAACCCTAAAAAAGGAAACCTTGGAGGCCAAGGTTTCCTCATCTATAAATAGAAGGACCATTAAACACACACACACGAAAAATACATTATCTACTACTACATTACACATATACTCATCTTTTCCGATCACTGACTTGATCGTCGGAGCTCTCCCGCCGGGAACCCCTCCCGGCGTTGCAGGTACCATCACCGGAGTACGGACCAAGGTGATCTGAGGAAGACGGAAGCCCCACGGACCAAATCAGAGATGAATATGTGCAAGCTCTTCTCGACCGCCTATGGAAATCCATGCTCTTCTTCACCAAGGCTGTTCCTATGTCGCACTTTTTCTATAGCGAGGGTCAAGCAGCCATCGACGCTGCGGGGTACCCTTTGAAGCTGGATGAGAAATCAATGGCTAAGCATATGAGCAAGAACATCCCGGGTTTCGAGGGGGACTTGACTGAGAAACCAACTTTGGCTTGGTGGGAGCCCATCTTTGCGGCAGTTGTGAATCGTATATGCCCCAAGCCTGGTCCTAGTGAGCGAGCTGATCCGCCCAGGAAGTCTCCGAGAAGGATGATGAAGATGACCTCACTTGCGAGGTAGAGGATTACCAAGATGCTGGCGAAGGAGATGCGGACCCGGAGGATGATTCCGTTGAATAAACGCTTGTGCTTTGCCTTTGTTGTTTCTTCTCCTTCTTTTTTTAAAGAGGGTAGGTTCGTCTGTGATTCTACTCTCTTGCTTATATCCGTTTAGCAATGAATCTTCTTTTCGTTTTTTCATCGTCACTTGCACTATTTGTGCAAGATTTGAACCTTCGCTTTAAGGTAGCGGATGAAGTGTTTCGTTGGACTTTCGATTGTGGTTTATATGTGCTTTGGGACCTGTGACTTTGTGAAAGTGCAGGTCGCAACTCCTTTTTTGATCTCGTACTTTTAGTTAATTGGGACCTGCGACTTCGAGAAGGTGCGAGCAACTCTTGTTTCTTGTTTGTTGTGACTAAATTAAAATATGTGTCTCGATCAGGAATGATTCTGGGAAATTCTATCCATATGGTAATGATGGATCATATAACATGACCGGAGAAGGGCCGGGTGCAGGCTACAGTGTTCTGAATTTCAGAGAATATTAACGGCTGTTTCTATCGGGTAAGTAAAGCATTAGTTATACTCTTTTAACTTTCCTTGCAAGTTATCCACTCGTTCTTGCTTTCAAATACCAACTCACTTTTCCTTTCCTTTTTCTTCTTTTTTTTTTTGTTTAGATGATGATAGGTTTCAACTTACTCATGGCCGAGGAGGAGAAGAGGCGTGAGACAGAAAGGCAGTATACGGAGGAAAAATCCCGTCTCAAGGGAGAGCTACAACGCGAGAGGAACGAGTTCAAGGGCACGAGAGTTGAGTTGGAGAGTACGCGGAAAGCGCTAAGGAGAATCAATGCAATGCTGCGCATTAAGGAATTTAAGTACAACAATGAGATGCTAAGTGGGAAGAATTTCTTGGCCTCACCGGCCAAAGGGTAAGGAGTTTGTTGCTAATCTAATTAGGAGGAAGGCCGTTAGCAAGTATATCGAGCCTCGCCAGACTTCCAGGAGGAGGCCATGCAGAGGGCGTTCACTATATACGATGATGTCGTTCGAGATTGCAGGTGCCAGCTCAGCGAGACTAGTAGCCGTAGCGGATCGAGTTGATGCTAGTTGTGTAAGTGAAATATCAATGGCATTAATTTATAAATTTATTCAGTACATGATCAGGGAAATACATGATTTTTTTTTTCTTTTTTTTTTCTGAATTATATATATATATATATATATATATATATATATATATATATTTATATTTTTATTAGTAGTAGTACATATTTTGAGACGACGATCGATCGTTCTTGCGCCTCGGTTCAATATAAGGCTCCATAGTACATCTTTTGGACCTTTAGACATAATAAAAACTATGCTATAATATACTACCCCTAAAAAAACATCCATGTTTTTTGCCACCTTTTTATAGTGGTGAATTCCTTTCACCATGGTGGCTATTTTATGGAAGTGTTTTTATGCTCAAATGTCACATGCATTTGGCATATATCCCCAATATTATATATGTATCTATATATGTATATATATAAGTTTTTGTGTGTGTGTGTATTAGAAATTCGAAGAAGTCCTTGAGCTTTCGTAATCGTGAATCTTGATAACTTTTTCGAAAGCACCAACCAAAGCCTCCACCTTACTCTTTCTCATCTTAACCAATTTGCTCGCTGTCTCTTCAATCACGATGTTGTACAATCCCGTCGTATTCATGTTTTTCCATTCGATACCCTGGCGGCGAAGAGAGCCCTTTGCAGAATCATTCTTCTTGTGAACGAACTCCCTATCGGAACCTACCCTCCTCAATCCCTTTTCCGTTACCGATCCTTCGCTTCCGTTTCGGGCTTCTAGAACCTTCCCTCTCCTGAATTTCAGCTTTCTCGGAGAAGAATCGGTTTCTTCTGGAGTAATATTTGCTCTTCCGCCCCTTGTAGTAGTAGTAGTAGTTCTGCTCTTGTTCGAATCCACTTTCCGATCCTCGCTAGGGGCTTTTTCGTCTTTTTGTTCAACCACGTGTATTATCTTCTCGGGGACGTTTTCATAATTTGTTTTCTTTGCCTCGGGTTTCACAGCACGTGTCTTGATTGTTTTCGACTGAGGAAGAAGAGCCCTTTTAGGTAATGAGCTCTTGTTTGTCTTGAACTTTGGTGTTGGAGCCTTGAACGATGGTTTTGGCAAAGACGAACGAGCCGGAGGCAGAGAAGTGGTTTTCTTGCTTGTTTTAGGTGCTGCTCTAATTACGTCTTTACCCCCGTTCGTACGTGTTCGTATGTTACTCGAGCCTTTCAAGAATGTCCTAGTTGCTTCTGCATTTTTCGTTTGACTAGGTTCCGGCTTATTAGTAGATGGTAATAAGACCTTTTTGCCCTTGTGATTCTTGTCTGATGATTTCTCCTCGACCGACACATTTTTCACGACGTTGTTTTTTGGTTTTGGGCTAAGAGGAGGCCTTGTTAATTTGGGTTGAAGTCCGTGTTTTGGGCCGTACTTGCAGAAGTCGTGGCATGAGCCAATCGAAGCTCGGAGGTAATTTGGAATTGGAATTGGAGTTGGTTCGGTGATTTTGACGATCGAGTTGCCGGTTGAGAATCTTCTCGGATGGCTGATTTTCTGCTCTGTTTTCTTCATGTTATTCATTGGGATGTTGTTGCTTGACATTTTAGCCATTTTGGATGAACAATCAAAATCTGCAAATTAATGGTCATAAATTATTGTACTGAAAATAGATTTGAATTCAGTTATAAAAGTTCAATGATATGAATTCATTCTCCTATAAAGATTACTTTTCACTTGTATATTCAAATAACAAATGTTTAATTTATCAAAAAAAGAAAAGGAGATGTTTATATTCAGAATAAACCCGAAACCCGAAACCTAAAATAGTTGTTTCTGAACTCGAATCCATTGTCATACGAAACACAAATTTCCGTCAAATCCTATTTATTTCTTTTCTATTTCAAACAGAAAAAGAATAGACATACCAAGAACTCACAGAAAATCATTCATGAAAAAAACATCTGATAAAACTTTTTTCTACCAATTATCTGCTGAATAAATTAATTAATGACGTCATTAACATATTTCAGGCTACAATACTAAAACAATTATGAATATTACCTTTGTAATAAAAGAGTTGCAGAAAATGGTTGAAAAGAGATGGAAGAAATTGATATTGATAAAAACTAGAAAGAAATGGGGACATTAAATAATTTTCTTAGCTAGATTTGGAGGGGGGGTTTATGGGATACTACTTGTCATTACCACATTAATGCAAAATGTTGGATAATATCATCATCTACTTTAGTTGAACTAATAATAAAACAATTAATACAAGTTAAAAAAGATATTGTGAGTAAATTAAGGAGGGCCAATAAAAACAAGAAATTGAATTTTGTGTTTGGAATATGTAATTTTAAGTTTTAACAGTTGGAGATTATGTTGGGATTGTTTGTTTCAAAGAATTGTTAGTTTTGGCACATACTATGTATGTCAAATCAATGCAAAATGGATTTGGTGTGATATTATTAAGGGTAAATTACAACCACCCCTCAAGTATGGTCAAATTACGAAAAAATCCCTCTTGTTTGGATAATTACATCTCCCCCCTCAACTATGAATATTCTTATACCTCCACCCTTATGATGTCAAATTCAACATAATCATCTAAATTCCGTGGAATGCGCTCTAGTTTGTACTCGTTTTGTGTAAAAATATAGTTTATAATGCACCATAATCTGATAAATACAAGCTAAAAAACACATCTTATGATCATCTTGCTTCAATTTGTGGAGCTCGAATGCGATAAAATGGGTACAAAAGTGATAATATTCCATATAATCAAGAAGATTCCACAAAATTTGAAACCGCAAGGGTGGACGTGTAAGAAAATTTATAGTTGAGAGGGGCAACTGTAATTATCCAAACAAGAGGGGGGTTTTCGTATTTTTATCATACCTCACGGGTGGTTGTGATTTACCCTATTATTAATTTAAGCCATTTATTTTGTTCAGTCGAATATGTGAAAAGGCACTGTTGTCATAATTGGACCGGATCGGCCGGTCCGATCAATTGAATAGAAACCGGGTCTTTGTCCCGGTCATGTTCAATGTAAAGGAATCGGATAAGTTGTAAGAAAAAACATATTGAACCAGAACCGCGGTAAAAAAGTATATTGTCTCACCACCGGGTCTTTTGTGGAGCGGGCAACAACGGGTTTCGGGTGGGTTTATGTAATGTTTTTACCACTGTAGAACGGGGCGGGTGCGGGGAATGCAAAACACACCGCATTGGCCATCCCTAAATTGTAAACGTTAAAGCATTTTTTTGCTCACTCAAACTTGATCATTTTTGCACTTTAACCCTTCAAAATAAATTTAAATAGTTTAGCTCCCTAAATCAAATTATTTAATTGAACTTGAACAATTTATTCAACTATTTGATCAACATAAATTAATTCATCTAATCATCTGTTGGTTTGACAGAAAATATCTTCAAGTGAAGAACAAAGTTAGTGTTCATACTCCAAGCAAATGTTGGACACCTAAAATACAGAAATATTTCACTCGTAAGAGATGACAAACAATACAACGACTTGATGATGATAAAATAAAATTTCGAAAAAAAAAAAAAAAAACCGAAAAGGAGTTGATCAATCACTTGAGGAACCGTCGTCATTTTCGTGGTCTCGTACAACCCTCTCGAGAAATTTCTTCCTAACACCATCAAGAACAGCTTCCGTAGATTGTTCTCCACCATGGCCATCGTTCAGCACCGGATCCACCTGGCACAAAACCAAGCCAACACTTTCAGGCGTGCATCTTCGACCAAAATTATGTACTCCCACATGAGTTGCCTTCACCGCACTGTTATTGTACACAAGTATAGTCGGAAGATTCCGATCGGGATAGTTGGGAATGCATTCAGTTGATATTATTTTGACGAATTTGGTGGCGGGGTATCTCTTGGCCAAATCTTCTAAGCACTGCAAAAGCAGGCGGCACTCTGGGAATCCGTCTTTGTACAGTAGCACGACTACCCAAACATCTTGTGGAGCTTGTGAAACTTCGCGCACAAAATCGGAACCTGAAATTGGAATTAGTGAGCCGAATTTTGCGATCTTGACTGCTTCTCTCATCTCGGACAACCTCTTCTTCCTTGTCACAATCAAAATTGAAAACCAACTCAAAAAATTAGTGTTGTTAATTATTTCATTTTGACTAGAGGACTTTATAAGTTATCATCTCAAAATTGAATAAAGGAACTGAATAAAGGTCGAACAAATTTCACATCTTTTCCGGTTCATACTCTACTCTACCAAAAAATTTAAAAAGGAGAGAATCAACGAACAGAAGAGACAGATGCTTTTTCATTAAAAAAGTTGCCGGAAAAAAATCATATCCAATCGAAATACATTATTAGCTGCAATTAAATTAGGGATTAGAGAGCCATTCGATTTATCCTCAGATAAAAAAAAAATCGAACTTCAATTTTCATCAGAAATCCGACCCGAGCAAGCAATTTGTAAATTGATATAACAAAGGCACCATGTCAGTTAATCAGTGTTGATAATTATGTAATTTTGAATAATGGCACCATATAAGTAATCTTCTGAAAACTGAATAAAGGTGGTTCCTTTGTGTTCAAATACATCTTTTTATGCATATATATAAGATTGGTATACCAAAAATCTAACCCATAATCTATGCAAATGAAGCTCAAACAAATTTCACATCAGTTCCAATTAATTACTCTACTCTACCATAAAAATAAACAAAAAATTATAAAAAAAATAAAGGAGAGAACCAATGAACAGAAGAGGCGCAAGCTTTTTCATCGAAGAAATTGCGGGGAAATTTCAATCTAATCGAAATAAATCAGCTGCAACTAAATTAGGGCTTAGTGAGAAATCTATCAGAAATCGAAGCAGAGCAAGTAAATTTGTGAACTGATATAATTAATACCTGTAATCTTCGAGGAAGCGATCATCGTCGAGATCGTCTTCGAGATCTTCAAGCTCTTCCTCGGTTTTGTTGTCGATCCAGGATTTGTCTTTGGGTTTGGAATCCTGGTCCTCGGCGGGGGCGAAGGGGGGCGGCTTGAAAGGCGGCGGCTTGGCGGGGAGATTTCCTAGTTTCGTCTGAATATCGTCCCACTGCGTCGACGATCCTTCCAGATCCTTGTATATGAAATGGTAATCCGCCATTGATGTGGGGTTTTCTTTTCTCTCAGAGCTGCGATCGGGATCAGAGAATTATGTATCTGTGGAAGAGGGACAAGGGTGCAATTTGATATTTCTTATAATTGATCAATTTTCTTCAAATTTAATTATTTATTTGGCAAATTATGGATACCCTGATGATTGGTCAAATTACGAAAAAAACCCCTATTATTTGTGTAATTACAACCACATTCCTTTAAAAAAAAATCACATAAAATTTATGTTATTCGGTTATTTATCGAACCAAATCATATATTCAGTTCAGTAAACGGTATGAAATGTTGGTGTATCGAAATTTTGGTTTCGATTTTACCGATTTAATATCCCTAAATTTACCTCACGAGGAGTATCTTCGTAAGATAATACATAGTTGAGGGATTGTTGTAATTACCCAAACAAGAGAAGAGTTTTGTAATTTGATCATAACTAAGAGGTGGCCGTAATTTGCCCTTAATTATTTATAGAAAATTCAAAGTTAATTATAAAATAAATACCTCTTTCTATTGTTTGTCTAATTATATTCATATTTAAATTATCTAGATTACAAAAATATTTCTATTGTATTTCAAAACAACATTTATGCTCCTCAATTTTTCACGATTTTGACCTTGACGCCGTTTGGTCCAAGGTTTGTAAATTACAGAAACACCCACTCACCTTACAGAACTTGACCAAACGTAAGACAGAACTTGACCAAACGTAAGACAGGTGAGTGGGGATTTCTGTAATTTACAGACCTTAACCATACCGCGTCAAAGTCAAAATCGTGAAAATGGACAGAGAGGGTTACATTGGGATAATTTTACAGGTGAGGGCTAAATCGATGCAATTGAAAGTATGAGGGGTAAAGTAGTTCGAGATCATAGTAAAAGGGGAAAAGTGGAATTGGCCCTCAAAATATATACAAAAACATAGTATGCTTCAAAAAGATACCCCTACACTGAATCAAAAGTTTCATTCCTTCACAACTTATGAGCTAAAGAACAACAAATTTACGAGCTCTACGCCTATAACCTTCTTGCCGTTTTCTTACCTTCCCCCAATCCTTCACAACAGCCATTTTACACCGTGTAGAAAACCTCTTCAAAGTCGAGCTCGTTGGCTTTCGTTCCACACATGCTCTCTTGACTCCTCCGTATCTTTTCAACGGAGCCGTTTCAAAGTCCTTGCGCTGCCTCGTTCTCCTTGTGGGGCCCACCCCAGAACGAGACGAAACACCTCTTTCCTTCCCAAGATCGTCACCGTCTCGAATTGAAGAAACAATTTCAGCAAACCAGAATAGTCGATTTTCTGAGTTCACCAGTGGCTCGGTTATTGAACAAGAGATTGTCAGTAAAGTCTGAGCAGCAACCATATCGGGCCCCACCGACAGCTGTCCGTCCTCTGACTTGCCTCGAGGGGGAGAGCACTTCTCGTTATCTGGGCTTACGGGATCCACCAAAGATTTAAGTGGACAAGGCTCGTCCGCAAGTACTACCGCACTGTTCAAGTCGATGATGTAAGTTTCAGTTTTCAAGAACTTGTTATTGTTGATCTTCGGGTGTAAAACGGGATTATTGTCTTCAACACACTTCCCATTGCTAGTTGCTTGATCACAGGCAGAACTACTGCTACAATCAAGAACTGCAGTAGTAATTTCTGGCTCGGAGAAACAACTGACAGGTGTACAATTCAAATCGAAACGCGCTGAAGAATTTACACCACGTGAGCCGCCATCAACGGAAACATATGGTTCGCTCTGTGCAGGTTCGTTCAGATCAATAAGACAAGGTTTTTTACTGCTGTGGTGAAGTTCAAGACAGGAGCTTTTTTCGTCTACTGTACTACTTGTTGACGGCAGAAACTTGACTTCACTGTAACTGTTTTCACTTACGAAAGGGACAGGGTGGAAGGTCGTGTGTTCTCGAGATTTTATTGCAACAAAATTTGGAGTTTGTTGAATGTTATAACCAAGGAGCCAGCTTGTTGCGTGTTGTGACGTCGTTCGAGACAAAGAATTACACGATTCTGATGTTTGAGATTGTAAATCTCGTGCCTTCGTTTCACGCATCAACTCCCTCTGCCTTCTGTACAGCCGATGAAGTTCCTGGACCTGTCAGAGCAACACGAAACATGATTCAAGACTGCCGAAAAAATATATACATATATATGTTCTGAAATTAAACTCGAAAAACACTCGAGTTAATAATGTAGTTTATCAAGGGGGAAAAATGAGTCAATAAACCAATCGCATGTAACACTAGTTGAAAGTGCCGACAAAGTTCATATCACATTCTGCAGCTAAGAAACGATGAAGCTATAGAAAGGCGAAATAAACGGTGTAATTTGATAGATATACCTGATATCTGAAAGTGGACTCATGATTCTGCATTATCTGACTCAGCATCGTCTTATCGTAACCTAAGCACTGGTTCGTATTACTTAGTGGCAAAGAAACGTTGTTGTAGACTCGTTCTTCTCCATAATTAGTATTACTATCAAATCGGTGCAAAGAAAATCCACTTGCACCTAGGTTAAGATCCCGTGCATAGTAATACACAGGAATACACTGCATATTCGCTTCAATTCACCTACAATGAGGATCCGATAATTTTAGTGTTATGCCGTAAAATAATAGACCAGCATGCTTTCAAGAATCAAAAAACGAGTTATTCCGAATATAGGTTCGAAAGTCGTACAATACGAACCATAAACCTCAAGCAGTTCGAAAGATCAAGACATGAAAAAGATCGATCATACAATACGAAACACCGACAAGATTCTTTGGTGTGTATTATAGGTAATTTACATTTCAGCTTAAAGAAAATCTTTCTTCTCCTAAGGGTCGTTTGGTTGCCAAGAAAAGATTAGCAAAGATAAAATTAAATAACCTAATGAAACCCAATTATATTACAGACCGTGGAAGATCCAATTAAAAAAAGGCAAGATAAGACATGACAACATAAGTTATTTGGGATACCAAACATCAAACAAATTCCCATTATTTAGTTAATCATGACTAATCTCCCCAACCAAACGAGGCCCGATAAGATTAAATATTGTCGGAATGCCAGCTAAGCAGAATAACAAATTTTGAAAGTAAGAATTAAATTAATCAATGAGAATCTGTTGGTAGCATTAGGCCAAAAGAAACCCCATAAGAGATCAGAGTGTAACAAGATAAGGAAGGGGATATATTAAAAATAAATTAAAAATTAAAAAATTAAAAAATCTGATCATGCAAAAGATATGACATCATCAAAACCATATCAGTCTATGCACAAATCCCAATACTCTACATCAGAAAAGAGAAAACAAGAAGGAAGAAACACAGTGACACGCAGTGGGACGTATTTCGAAAGAGAAAACCGACCCAGATGAGAAAATGAACGGAAGATCAGAACCCATTAATCAATTTCTGAGAAAACGAAGAAAAAATTGGAATTTTTATTTACCTGATACACGAAAGATGAAATAATAAACCAACGGCGAAACAAGAGTATATGTTTTATGATATTTCAGTCAAAATTGAACACAGACACACTTATTATATTGGAGTAGAAGGGTAATTATCAGAGAGAATAAGGAGGAGAGAGAAAGGAAGAGAGAGAGAGAAGAAGAAGGAGAATGGAATGAGGTCAAAAACTTGGAGAGAAAGCTGACATTTGGGGAAAGAGAGGAGGTGGGAGAGTTTTGAGTGGTGTGTAAAAGAGAAAGGAAGCCATGAAAGGAGGAGGTTTTAAATTTGTCAACAAGCAAAGACTAAATAAAAGAGAAGAGAGAGAGAGAGTGTGCTGTGTGTTTGTGTTTGTGTGTGTGTGTGTGAGAGAGAGAGAGAATTGGGAGTTTCTGGATCTGCTGGGGCCTCACACACACACACACAGAGACAACACAAACTTGGGAAAGAAGGTGGGAGTGATGATAGAGAATAACTTACATTAGAAGAGTCTTGGGATTTGTCAATAATTGGGTCCCACCCAAGGGTGGGTGTGGGGGTGGGGGCTAAAAGAGGGGAGTGGGGGTGTGTACCTGCACTTTATAGTTTGTTTTATGCTAAATTCCACTTTACCCCTCGTACTCTGCCGAGAATCACTTTACCCCCTCGTATTCTCAATTTTATCGATTTATTCCCCTGTACTTGTACGATTTCCCAATACAATCATCTCCGTCAACTTTTTTCGATTTTGACTCTGACGTCGTTTGGTCATAGTCAAAATATTGACATAAATTACGCCCACCCTTGAGATACGATCAAATTACGAAAAAACCTCTCATGTGCGGATAATTGTTGTTATTCGGTCAATTATGAATCTTTTTACACGCTCATCATTGCCGTGTTAAATTTAGTAGAATATTTTAGATTATATAAAATATTCTCCAATTTGTACCCGTTTTATTTAATTCAAGCTCCACATTTTAAAATAAAATGGTCATAAGATGTGTCTCTTTGCTTGTAAATATCAAATTTTGGTGCATTAAAAACTGCATTTTTGCAAAAAATGAATACAAACTAGATAATATTCCACAGAATTTAGAAGATTTTGTTGAATTTTGTATCATAAGAGTGGACGTGTAAAAAGATTTGTAATTGATAGATGGTTGTAATTATCTAAATAGGAGGGAAAAAATCATAATTTAACATTATCTGAGAGAGGTGTGACCGTAATTTTACCCTTATTTTGTTGAATATTTTTCGCCTGCAAACACATTGAATATTTTTTGGAGGGTTTCTCTCTTCTTCGTGAACTGGCAGCTTTAGCCTAATAATATTTTCCTTTAAAAAAAAACACATTGAGATGTGACTTGTGAGAGGTGTGAGAAAATATTCTTGAATAACGAAAATTAGCTAATGTAGAATTTAAATAATAATTTTAATTAATATTAAATATTTAAACTTTTTTTTTCTAGAGAAATAAACTTCGTTAATTGAAATTATTCATTTGTTAATTTTTTTTATTTTTTTTTTTTGACTACTTCCTCAAACATGCCTATTGCTATTTTTTCCCCCTCTCTTCCATTTTTTATCAGCCTTATAAATGATGCGCGTTTAAATTTATCCGAAGCAAAACAATGATGGACACTTTAAATATTTGCAATTTGACGTCGTTTAGGTTTTTATAAAATACAATGTTTCCTATTTATGGGGAATTTTAAATTGTAACTTTTATCATAAAAATTAAAAATCAATCCCACAAATTGAGTTGTATTAGAATTCCAAGTTATATTATGGTAATGACTACGCTTTAAGTATTTACTTTTTTCATTTATGACAATGAACTTATGAAAAAAAAATTGTTAAATTTTACTTAAATATGGTCGTAAATTTCTGGAAAATGACGATGAACTTCTGAAAATTGGCAGTGAACTACTAAAAATTGATAGACGTTGGCAATTAACTTCTGAAAAATTGTTGAAAATTTGACGATAAACTTTTGAAAATGGGTAGTGCACTTATATGAAATGAGAGTTTAACAAATATGACTGTAATGTTATGAATAGTAATAAACTTCTCAAAATTGATAAACTTTTGAACATTGAAATTTTTAACAAAATATGACAATAAACTCTTAGAATTGACCAAAAATTTGGCAACAGACTTTTGAAAATTAGCAGTAAACTTCGACATGCCTGGCGTGTTCCTCATTGTTCACAGGCGCGTCCACACCACTCTCAAAAACTTTTAGCGAATAAAAGAAAATGGACGTAATTGAAACTAAAACAAAAGTTTAATTATTGCTCATGAAATTATTTGTTATGGACTAGTAGTATATTGCCCATACCTTCAAATATATACAGATAAGTTTCACATATTCATTGTTGTTATTTGCAATTAATAAGATCATTATTCTTATTTTCTTTAAATTTATGCCTCGGACAAATGATTGATAGCCCAAAATGGGTGAAGGTGATGAATTTTATCTATAAATGTTGGGACTTTTCAAAGGAATCTCACACTTTCTCTTAAAACTGCCAAAGCAGATTATTTATAGTGTCTTGAAAGAGATTCTTTTGGTGGATTCTAATCAAGAAAAAAATCCAATCTCTCCATCAATATGTAATATATATATATATATATATATAGTTAAACTTCTATAAATTAATAAAGTCGGGACTAGGGAAGTGCTATTAATCTAGCGAATTATTAAATTATCGAGTTAATAATATAACATGTTCTCATCCAGTCAGGACCGAGAGAAACTATTATTTAATCGAAGTTACTAATTTATCGAGTATTAATTTAACGCGCACGATAAGCAAAATGAGAGAGTAAAATAAGAGGGTAAATTTTTTAATGAAGAAAAAGAGGACAATAAGCAAAATGATGGACCATTTGAATACATAAACCTCCCTCGTCAATTCCAAACAAAAACTTAGCAAAATCCGAATCCCAAAGCATCGAAAGCATAAATATATTCATGTATGGATCTGAATACGATTAACTCACTTATATATTAAGCTGTTGTATGAAAGGAGCACCGAAGAAGAAACAACGAGCACATGGTTGAAAAATCGAGACCTTATTTGAATTCTGCAATCTCGAAAACACGAGCGGTTCCATCGATTGAAACGGAGACTAGAAAATCTCCATTGCAAGATGCAGTAATTGACTGAATGGAGTCGGAGTGCCCGCTGAATATTCTTTCAAGATTCCCCGACAAACTATCCCATATTCTTACTTTTCCATCACCACAACCAGAGGCTATATATCTAGAATTAGCCAGCCACAGCAAACATGTCACACCTTCCTGCAATAGAATTGCCAATATAAAGAGTTAAAAGACACTCGTGAATGAAATGAAATTAGCAAAAATGGGTCCTAATTTAAGGTTGGGAGAGCATCTCCATTATCTGGGTCTCAACTCTAGTCTCAACTCTAGTGTATCAATTTAATCATATAGACAAAAGATAGTAAAGCACGCACCTCGTGATCACATACACAACGAGGCAATGGAGAATGATGCTCCCAGATTTTAAGCTTCTTATCCATGCCTCCTGTGGCAGCCCTCCAACTCTCCCTTCCAGAGCTACAAAAATATTCATATAATAATAATAGCACTTCAGGAATTACGAAGGAAAATGGCAAAATATCTGATATGGTTTTTGTTTTGGTAAGATTTGTAGCCGTGTCTATTATTTATGCAAAGAAACGATAAAATAATATTTGGCAGTTATAAACCTTGCTTCAAAAGCAGCAAACTCGACCGAATCTAAATGTTTCTCTAAAGAACTGACGACCTGCAATGTGGGACCGCGGCATTAAATCATGGATTACACAAAAAGAGAACAAAATAAAATAAAGGGGATAAAGCAAAAAAAAAGGCAAAAAGCACCTTCCCAGTTGTTATATTAACAATGTGAAGAGAACCATCGCTTGACCCGGTAAGCACAAGAGTAGAGTCGGAGCTGATTGTCAAGCACGTGAGCCCTTCACCATGATAAAAATGACCTTGCAAAATCAATTACGTATTTCATCAGTACTGAAATGCAGCAAAACGAGAGAATATGTCAAAAGAAATTAAAATTAAAAAGTCAAAAGCACACCTCTAACATCATGGATAACTTCCGACGTTCTCGGGTTCCAAATTCTCAGAGTTGCATCATCAGAACCAGTACAAATTGTTCTACCTTCAGAAAGTGAAAATCAGTAACATTAATATATACAGTCAAAAGGGGAAGACCGTCAGAGTTTCCTCGTTATAGAAAAGTAAAAAGGTGATATAATAATTACCATCAGGGGTAAAATCGCCACATGTTACACTACTCGCGTGACCTGCGAAATTGTGCAGATAAGCAGCCCTGTCGGTATTCCACATCCAAACGGAAGAATCCTCTGAACCAGCCAAGACCACATGTCCTCTCGGATGCCACTTCACCCACTGAACAATATTTACCCGTTTAATATAAGTACATCATAAACTACAAGATTATTCACCAAGTTAATATATCATTATTACCTCAATGCCACCAGCTGGACCGTCAAGGGTGCATTTTAATTCTCCGTTAGCTATATCCCATACTTTAACAACTCCGTCCAAACTTCCAGATGCAAGCAACTGCCCGTCTGCGCTAAACGACAGGCTAGATACAGAATCTTGGTGACCTGTACTAGGATAGGATTTACAATTGAAATCGTAATATTGTACACATGTAACACGTGTTAATGATCTTATGAACTTTGATCATGAATTATAACTTTTATTTTTTTGTTTTTATAATTAAGAGATTAAGAACGAAGAGGCCGAATTCGATACCTTGCAACTCAAAAGCCCAGTCTCCGTGATTAATCTTCCACAGGAATCCTTTATCGTCTCCACCTCCAGTTGCGACTAGTGCGGCATCTGTTGGACTACAGACAGCTGTGTACAGTTCACCTAGATGAAGAGAATCAACTTTTTTAAGACCGCTATAAAGTTGGATTAATTAACGATTTGCGAGTAGTCTTTATTAACATTAGTAACATTCGAATACAAAAATCCTCAAGCATTTAAAATAAAAAAGAATAGCGCAATGAAGATACGAGCTTGGAAACAGGAATAAAATAACTCACCTGTATGACCGGTAAATATATGTATTGAATCATCAACCCCATCTGCAGCCATCAAATACAACAAGGTAAAATGAAATGAGTAACTGAATAAAATTACACGAACCAACGTGATTGAGAAACAATTGTGAGTGGGATAGCTATATTGTTACAGAAGAATCGTAGACGAAAAATGTTACTTTACCACTTCACGGAGAAAATATCAGGTACTCGAGATAATATGACGTGGACTAAACACGTCAAAACTGCATGCTTACAACAACTGATGTCCATGCAATGTATAAAATGAACTTGCAGTTTGCAGTATTATTGAAGGACTTTTTTGTTTTTTTTTTTTACTTATACAATAAAGATCAGTATTGAAATAACGGATGAATATTTTGCTATCTTATTTATAGTATACACGCCGATGAAAAATAGAAAACTACGTTCGAGTATAGCTGGTAAAAGAAAATTGAATTAAGATGAACGAACCAGAATCATCTTCTCCATCAGAGCCACCTTCCTCATCTGCGTCCGGGAGTTCTGAAAAACGGACACGCAGAAATGAAGGTTGAATAGATATTGAAGCAAAATGAAATTGATGGTAAATGAAAATAACAAATTACTACTTTTCGACAATACAAATTCTTAATTACAAGTCAAATTCCATTTAACATGCATATCAACTGCAAGCAAGCAGCAGCATAGTTCTAACTAAATAACTTAACATAAAATGGCTTAATGAAACCCCGTACGAGCAATCATCAGAAAAACAATCTGAACAGCCACAGTTAATCCCTCGAAAAAAATGATAACTTGCAAAACATATCGCACAAACTTCGTTTTTACTGCATACATACCTTCTTCATCGACCTCATACTCGTTGATTATATCACTTTCATCGAGAAAAGTCTCTTCGTCGTTATCCTCGTAATCATTTGGAGCCGGCCCACTCATTTCTGCAACAACAATAACTTCAGTTAATTATGCTAAAATACATAAAGCAGTTTTACAAATTCAATTTCAAGAACACACAATATCCATCCCATTTTCCCAACAATTGAATAAATTTACCCATTTCAAAATTAGGGATTTTCGAGATGTGAGCAAAGATTATTCGAATGCCCTCAACCTGGTTAAGGGTTTACTTATAGGTTAGGAAGGCAAAAGGTTAAGAAGTAGTATTTGTTTACGGCTGAGATTATTTGTCCAACACCATTTTTCTATTCACACTACGAATTTCATTTTGAAAAATAATACCCTAAAATAAAAAATACAAATTTACCCTTTTTGAATAAGATAAGAAAATATGTACTCGAGGTAAGATACAAATATCCCCAATAAACCTGTTTACAGATAGATTTCCATTTGAACAAAAGCATAAAACAAAACACAATACCAATCTTCAATTTCGAAAGTAATAAAATAAATTTTGATTTTAAAATCAAACGTATAAATTTCAGCTGAATTTTTATTTTGCTTACTGGTGACTTCTTTGTTTCGTACGGAACGATGGGCTTCCGAACGGCGGTTTGATGAAGGTGGAGGGCAGCGGCGGTAGATGGCGGCGCTGTTCAACTTATTTTCTTAGTGAGTCTGCCGCTTTTTTTCTCTTTTATTTTTGTCGCCTTATTTAATCTTTCTTTTGCTTTTAATAAAGTAAATGGCAAATAAGGGGCTTAATTATTGATTTATCTTTTATTTATAAATGATATTTAAGTTCAATGAACCCGAATAATCATATATAACCTCACTATTTATTAATTAATATAAATATTTAATTTAAAAAATTATACCCATAATCTGCAATCAAATCTCTTTCAAAAATTATTTTCCTTCAATTCAGTTTTTTTTTTTTCTTTTCTTTTTTATTTTATTTAATAATTTTATTTATTTCTCTATTTCAATTTAAAAGAAAATTTTGTAATTATATTATTTTCTTTTGTATTTTCGGTCACTGGTATTGTTTTGGAACTGAGTAGAGCGGTACCCTCAAATCCTATCCACATAATTATTTTCCGATTCCTCAATACTCACTCGTCTTCTTCTAATCCAATTACCATTGAAGTAAAAGATTTATTTGCCCAAACTTGAAAAACTTCAGATTCATAAATGGCGGCTTATGCAGCTCTAGTTTCAGTTACAACTACCATGGATCATATCCAGAATCATCCTCTCTTTTCGATTTCTTTCGACAAGATCCAGATGGAATCTTTCGGCCAGAAGATTCGTTTCTTGCTAGATTTCGTAGAGGCCGATTATTCCCATGGAGTTTTTAATACAAGCAAACAAGTCGAAATTTCGGAGAGTCAAATTGCAGCTGCAGCCTATGCGGCTGAAGATGCAATCGAATCTCACGTCGTCGACCAAATTCACCCAATGAAAGATTCCAAAAGGAATTCTGTGCCACTACTCTGCTGCTTCAAGGAACCTGTAACTACTGAATCCGATCCATTGCACCAAATTCCCGGTGGTTCGGTTTCGTTGCTCGATCTCCAAACGGTAATCGAAGAAATGGATTCCATCGAAAAAAAGGTTATGGAGTTCAAAGATGAAATTGGATCCAAAGACGATCATTATACACAGCAGCCCACGTGTTCGATGGTGACTACTACATCGACACCACCGGGGAAGAATACTATGGTCGGATTTGACGAACAATTGCTTCGACTTTTGGACAAGCTCACCGGTCAACGATGTGACCGGCAAGTCATTCCGATTGTGGGCATGGGCGGCATTGGTAAGACTACTCTCGCCCAAAATGCTTACGAACATTCACTTATTCTCCACCATTTCGATATTCGTACTTGGGTCACGGTATCTCAAAAGTATAATGTGAGAGAACTTTTTGTTCAACTTCATTCAAGGCTAAAAAGTAGTGAAATCAATGGTGAAATTGACGAGCAATTATTAGGACAAAAGTTGCACAAAATACTATGGGGTCGGAGATATCTGATTGTAATCGATGATATTTGGAGTATTGAAGCTTGGGAGGAGGTATGTCGTTTCTTTCCAGACAACAACAATGGAAGTCGAATTGTTGTGACTACAAGGATATCGAATGTGGCTACTCACTTCGACTCTGCGTGCTTCGAGTTGACTTTTCTAGATGAGGATAAAAGTTGGAAACTATTTTGTGAAAAGGCATTTGGTCAAGTCGGTTGCCCTTCCGAGCTAGAGGATATTGGAAAGGAGATTGTTAAGAAATGCAAAGGACTTCCCCTTTCGATTTCTGTGATTGGTGGGCTTCTTGGAAGATCCAACAGAACGCAGAAATACTGGAAAAATATTGCAAAAGATTTAACCTCGATTCTCAACTCTGGAGAGGACGAGAATTGCTTGAGTATATTATCTTTGAGTTACACCTACTTGCCTGTCTATCTTAAACCATGTTTTCTATACATGGCGATTTTTCCAGAAGACCATGATATTTGTGTCTCCCGACTGATCAAACTTTGGGTAGCTGAAGGGTTTATAAAACCAAATGAATCACAAAGCTTGGAAGAGATTGCACGAGGTTACATAAATGATCTCATCGACAGGAATCTCATTTTAAAACAATATTTGGGATGGAATGGAAGAATTAAATTTTGTAAGATCCATGATCTTTTGAGAGACTTATGTCTAAAGATAGTTCAGAAAGACAAGTTTATGTGTATGATGGAAGAAAATCCAGGAGGAGTAGAAAGTGAACGTCGTATTGTATGTAATAGAAAGGGGGTCCGTTGTCGTACTTTGCAATTAGCACCACTTACCCGTACTTTGGTAACGAGCACAGACGGTCGACTGTCCAACAATAGATTGTTGAGAGTAATGTCTTTCAACAATAAAGCCAAGAAAAAGTATTTACACCGGCATATTGTTGACCAAGTTAACATGCGGTATCTTGCTTATAACGAATTCAATATCATCTCTTCTTCTGTCAAGCTTCCTACGTCAATAGACGTACTCTGGAATTTGCAAACAATAATTATTAGAACGGAAATCGAAGCACCATCTCAAATTTGGGAGATGCGACAACTTATGCATGTGGATATTTATGAGTTATACCTTCCCAATCCTCCTCAGAATCAAAATCGGGATGAGTTTATTTTGCAAAATCTGCAGAAACTTGCGAATGTAACAAACTTCGTGTGGAGCGAGGAGGCTTGTAAGAGAGTCGTCAATGTCAGGATATTGCACATACAGTACGATAACAACTCGAAAAGCTCAAATGACTATTCGCTCCACAATATTAGCCGCTTGCGTAAACTTGAATCGCTTACGTTCTTTTCTCGCGGTCTACCCAATTTGTTGCAGAAGCTCACGTTCCCGAGTTCACTCAAGAAGTTGCATTTAGGCAGATGTGTTGTTCGCTGGGAAGATTTGTCGGTGATTGGCTCGTTGCCTTATCTTGAAGTTTTGAAACTGATTGCGGGTCAGGTGGAAGGAGAAGTGTGGAATCCTGTCGAGGGGGAATTCCTTCGCCTGAAATTCTTTTCAATACTTTTTGTTGATATTGTTTATTGGAATGCAGACTGCTCACATTTTCCGGTTTTGGAGAAACTTGAACTCGTAGGAATGCGCAAATTGGAAGAGATCCCTTTAGATATTGGAGAAATACCAACGCTTGAACTTGTCATGTTATATGGGTGCACAGAGTCCGCCGCCATTTCTGCTATGAAAATAGCGGTGGAACAAGAGAATAATGGTAACGACGTACTTCGAGTTCAAGTTGATTTCGAGACGAAGGAACAATTAGAGAGTTTCAAGAAGAAGGTGGAACAATTAGCAACGAGCTTTACGGGAAATAATTTTCAATCCAATGCGTTTTTCTAGTTTCAACATTGAATTACTCCACCTTCTTGTAACAAACTTGGGGCTTATTATTTTTCTTTTTTTTTTCTAGTTAGAAATGAAATTTATCATTGTGAAGTTTATAAGATGTGTTTTTTATTTTCTTGTGTAAGCAAAATAGGTCTCTAAATTTCATTCAGAGACTCGTTTAACGTCTCTACACTTCATTTTAGAGGCTCGTTAAAAGACTCAATGTCTCTAAAATGATGTCAATCTCGAGTGAGAGATTCTATAAAATTAATTTCGATCTTTAGACACTTCCCCTTTTAAGAAATATGTTGTTCAATATTCCGAGTTGCATAGGGTCTTCGATCTCTCCTTACTACAGTCTGTCATAACAAATTCGATCGATGCTATATTTGTATCCAGTGATTAATTAAGTACTAAATAACTATCAAGAATTACCATGAAATTAAGTGTTTTTCTGTTTTTTTCGTCTTCGGGTAAATGTCTCTTTTGCCCCTCATCATATCATACCTCTACGCTTCATCTCTTGTCTAGTAGCATGCTGTTTTCCCCTGAGATGCATCTCGAAGCAGTCCTCATTCATGCAGCTGACGTGGCACAGCTCACAAAAAACCGGCTTCTTCTTAGCCACGGTCCCTCCAGTTCCGTTCCTCCTACATTCCTCAAGTTCGTGCAGTTTGGCCTTGTGCTTCCGCCCCTTCAGGTGCATCTCCATTGTATCCCTATCCGAGCAGAAAATTTGGCAGACATTGCACCTCGGCTGCTTTACGGTGCAGTTCCTCGTCTTCAGCTGCATCCACACCAGCTTCGCCTTGTGGGGCCGGCCCCTCAGGTGGTCCTGCATTGTGGTCCCACTTGAGCAGCTGACCTGGCAGAGCTCGCAGAATAAATTCCGGGGGGATTTATTCACCGCTTTGCTGCTGTTGTTACTGTAGGCTGGTGGTGGATTTAGCAATTCTTGAATGTCGATTTGTTTTCTCTTTAAACTCGAACGCGGCTTTGTGGGGATGATCTGCCCGGGAAAATATATTGGCCTTTGAGTTTCTGTGTCGGTTTTCGGAATCAAAATAGCCTTTGGAGGTGGAGTTTTTGCCGGAATCTGTCGACGGAAAAAAAAGGATTCTAGTTAACAAACATGGAAAAAGGACTTTAATTTATTTTTGCAAAAATTAGAAATAAAATTTGTTTAATTACCAATGGGAGTTCAAATGATGAGTTATAAGTCAGAAGTTTTTTGTCGAAAAGTTTGCTCGGGTTTATCCAATCTTTATGAGGTGATGACGGATTTATGAGGCTCGATATTTCATCGGAATATGGCTCCTGAATGATACGAAAAATACGATAAATTCAGACAATGAATTCTTTTAATTAGTACATTTTGATGCAAGAACTCACAATTTTTATCAAACTCTGCTCTGTGTGAAATTGGGGTCTTGGAGACGGAAACGTAAGCCTTGGATGTTCCGTCGAAGATTGTACCTTCAACCAGGGAATTAAATATTTATTTAAAAAAAAACAAGCGGTAAATTGTTAATTAAGGCGAAAAAGCTAAGGTTTGAGATAAGAAACTAACTTTTGATGAACATGCGTTCGTCCAATCCCCGAAGCTTGGAGATCGAGTCAGGGTTTGCACGACTTCGTTATTCGGACTTGGAACCTTATAAAATAGGTGTAATTATGTAGAAAATGTATCGGAAACTGCTTGTTAGGAAAATATATATATATGATGTAATAATAATAATAATTAACATTTAGCAGATGTATCAGAAAGTAAATATGATCAGCATACAAGTTTGTCCCGACAAAAATATATGAACACCTCATTTATGATTCGAAACGCAGACTTAAACACATTACTTTGGATTTTTCATCCAAGACTGTAAATCAGAGAGAAAAAAAATTAAAAATAAAATGAGAATTTACGAGCCAAGAAAATTATAACTATTGTAAAGATAAATACTATAAATTTGATGAATTGAATGCAAGAAAGTCAATCATTGCATGTAAATACGAAAAATTGGTTGACGCCTACCTTTTTGCGGTTCGCTAGCTCCCTTTGAAGTGCTAGTTCCAAACCGGACTTGTGCGCAACAAACATTTCTCGTTCGATTAAATTGGATCCCTTCAAAAAAACAGTTGACACAAAATTAGTACATTTCAAGAGATCAAGGGATTAATTATTATACGTGGAATGTAACATTTCTTAAACAAATTCGCAGAGCAATTACTGAAAAATAGATGACACTCGCTTCGAATTCTTAAGAGGATGAGAGAGAGAGAGAGAGAGAGAGAGAGAGAGAGAGAGAGAGAGAGAGAGAGAGAGAGAGGGAGGGCTTGAAAATGGTTACCTTACTGAAAGCAGAAAAAAGACTCAATAGAGTGTGAAAACAAAAGGAGGCCTTAAAAATTAAATATGGTGTTTGTGAAGTACAACAGAAAGGACTAAAACACACACAAGGCATTATGCATGTATATATTTGCTTTAACAAGGGAATAATTTTTTTAAAGAGTTCTCAAGGGCATTCTTGTCAATAAAAATTCAAATGTATTTTGGCTTAACTTAACATATGTTGTGGGCCTGTGGTAGATTATCATCACAGCCATCTCTTGCAAATGCTAAATTGCTAATTAGTGTGGGTCGTTCATTTGACACAATTCATCTATTTTTATTTATTTGAGCATCTTTACTCCAAATTATAATTTTCGGTGTATTTTTCATTGGAATTGCCATTTATCTGTCCACTTCAAGGGCATTTAAGCCCTTCCATCAATCCAACCAAAATCTTAATATCCTTATATTTTCTAATACATAAAAAACACAACACAACCCGTTATACTAATTTCATAAAAAAAAAAAATTAGGCAATGTTTGGTAGTATTTTGATTTTGTTTTCATTGATTACCCAAAACAAAATTATATTTATTACACTTCTCAAATAATTTTCTCAAAATAATTTCAAAAGTTTTTCTCTTCTTCAGACATAATGTGACTGCAACAGTAAAATGATTTAACTGTTACAGTAAAAAATGTCTTCACCCAAAAACAAATAAATATCACTTCATCTTTTAATTTTTTTCTTCTAAAATACCTTTTTCTAACACTTTTAAACATGATGTGACTGCTACAGTGTATTTTGTCTCCTTCCAAAATATAAACAAACATTACTTTCATTCTCAAAATTTCCCCCCAAAACATATTTCCTAACAATGAAATCAAAATAAGTTCCAAAATGCTTTCAAACATTGTCTTAGGTTTGTTTATCTTGTAAAACGAATTGTGTCTATCGTGTCCCTAAAATTCTGAGAATTAGCAGTTATTATGGTGATTCGTCCCTTGAATGATGCAAGTGTCCTTCAGTTGGATGAATTTGTGGCTATTTCGGTGAAAAAATACGCGAAATTTTATAATTTGGGGCAAAGTGCAACTGAAACAAAATTTTGATGGGGAAAGAGTCTTTTTGTGGAACTTATAGGGGGGAAAGTGTCAAACGTTAAAACCTTTAGGGGGCAATGAAAACTTTTAGGGGGCGAAGTATATCTTTGTTCCTTATTTATTTATTTATTTATTTACATATACATAAAATTAAAAGGGAATGACTATAACAAATCCCAAGTTTTTCTCACTTCAATACCAAAAAAATAAAAATTGAATAATAAATAAGTAATGACATAAATACCCTTAATGAAAATAAATACTATACAAATATTAAAAATCTCATTTTTCTTTCTTCAATACAAACACACAAAATCCCTCAAACCCATCTTCTTCTTCACAAATTCCTTAACCTCTTCATTTTTCTTCCTCACAACAAACCCTTCTAAAAAATCTCAAAACTAAATAAATTAAAACCTCACAAAACTTATAAAATGGAGTTATAAGACAATAATATGGTAGTATATATGGAAGGAGAACACATTAAGGTAAGTATCGATGTCTTTTTTGAGCTTCGAAGTCGATTTTGAAGTTTTTTTTTTTTTGAAACCCGCCGGCAATTTTCGACACATACATGTCGATTTTTTGGTCAATTTTCGACACCAATGTGTCGAAAAATATATTTAGAAAAAAAAAAAAAAAATCAAAATCGACTTCGAAGCCCAAAAAAAACATGGATACATAACTTAATGGGTCGAAAAACACTATTGGTAAAAAAAATAAAATCTTATAACTCTATTTTATAAGTTTTGTGAGGTTTTGATTTTTTGAATTTGGAGATGTTTTGGAGGATTTAAGAAGATGAAGAAGATAGGTTTAAGGGATTTGAGTTTGGAAAGAAGAAGAGATGATTTGTTTTTCTTTTTTTCCTGGTATTGAAGTGAGGAATACAAATTTTGTCTGTATAAATTGTATTTTGGTTGATGAACGGCGTTTTTGTACTTTGCTAATAATTTTTTTTATTTATGGTTTTAAAGTAAGAAAAAATTGTAAAAACTTCTATAAAAAATAGTTTTAAACTTGGAGATACTAGTGAGAAAAATTTGGGATTTGTTTTAGTTGCCCCCAAATTAAAATTCTTGTAAATCCGCTTCTATTCCCCGCCAAACCCTTTCGCCGCTGCTTCCTCTCTCCGCCGCTCTCCTCCGGCCATTCTATCAGGTAATTAAGTTGCTGTAGAAATTGTTTCCGATTAACGGCGAGCCCTTTTCATATTTCCAATACTCTATTACTCGATTCTTGATGGTATTATGCTAAGCAGGTTTTTTAATTTACTTTTGGTTTCATTACAGCCCTGTGAAAGATATTAGCTATGATCTTAGAATTTTCAATTTATTTGAGTGGGTATTTGTGCCTCAATGTTTGTTGTTGTGGTCTATTTAGCAATAATTTCTAGAGTTGGGAATGGTGGCTTTAAGTATAATTGGGTTTCGATTTTGAGAGATTTTTTTTAGCTTCTGCGAAACTGCAATTTTTTTAAAGATAATACGATCATCTTTATAAATGCGGATTCATTGTAATTAATTTTTTTTTAATAATGCTGTACGTTTCAATCTGTTTTTTCATAGTCGAAATGGATATTAGTGATGATTTTTTATGGTGCAAAGAGTGTTGTTTAAAGTGATTCCTTGCTTTTTGATTATTTTCTCGAAAAGTATTGCTGATTTCGTATAATTGGATATGTTAAGAGATCTATGTCCGTCATGTGATGAAGATGTAATTTTTTATTTTTTTTATTTTTATGTGACGAAGATGTATATCTGGTATGATGTTGCTTTATGCATCAAATGAGCTTTATTCGTGTTTTTTCTTCCTGGAAAGCAGCACAAGATAATATTGTTTTATTGTACTATTAGTTACCGACCATTCACATATTCGTGTTTTCATGATTAAACTTCTCAGGTACTTAGTTTTACGGCTCCACAATAACTATAGCATCAACAACGTCCATTCTTATATCCAAAATTAGTATGGATTCTGTAAAATCGGTTAACTTATCTATACAGAATAATGTAATTCAGCCACTCTTTATTTCTTCTGGCTCTTCGACTTTACACGAAGCACTAGAGCGGCTAATCGAAACTGCCAAAACTTCCGATGGACGTTTATCCCTTTCTTCCAAAGATATTATCAAACCAGCCCTCGAACTTTGCCAATATCCTTTACGAGTCCCACACCAAGAACTTCTTTTAGCCGTAAAACTACTTCGAAACTTGTGTGCAGGTGAAATTAAAAACCAGGACCTATTTATCGAACAAAACGGCGTTGGTATTCTTTCAACCCTCGTTGGTTCTGTGTGTTCGAATTCTGGTTCTGATAATGAGATACTTCGTATGGTATTGCAAGCGTTGGGAAATGTTTCGTTAGCCGGTGAAAAACATCAAGAAGCTGTGTGGGCCCAGTTCTTCTCCCTTGGATTTATCGATATTGCTCGAGTTCAAAGCAAGGAAACATGTGATCCTTTGTGCATGGTTATCTACACTTGTTCCGAAGGTAGTAATGAAAGATTGGTTGAACTGCTTTCCGATCAAGGGCTGGGTATCATTGTAGAAATCGTACGAACAGTTACAACAGGTAATCAATCTCCTCGTAAATTTCAAGATTGAGCTAATAAAAAACTCCGTTTCTTGTAAATATTTGATTTTTAATGCACCCCATTAATTTGAAATTTGATATTTGCAGTCGGTTTTAGTGAGGATTGGGTGAAATTGCTACTCTCAAATATCTGCTTTGACGAATCCTATTTTTCGTCAATTTTCTCTAAATCATCAATGGTAGTGATGGGCGTGATTTCAAACGATGGGGAAAAGGACGTGGGAGACCATATGTGGTTCTTCGTTGTGAGCGTGGGGGTGTTTATGTTGCGAATAAGGTGGCAGTTAAAGATGACCAAAGACTAGGAAAAACGAGCACCTTTTAAAAAAAAATGCAATTGTCCATTTAAATTGAAGGGCACGAAATTAGGCACTTATGAGCAACCCAAATAACACTTTACCGCAAATTAAAGTCAGCCCATTTCTTACTTTGGCTTTCACTCTCTCTCTCTTCACCAGTCGTTTCTCACTCTCTCGCTTCTCGGCTGAAGCATACAATCTACCTTTTTTCTCTCAATACGTGTATCTTCTTATCCTCAACAAATCTTGGTGATTTGTTGTCAAATTCTTCATGAGTTTGGTGGATGACTTTGGCGTATAAGTGCCCCCTATTCTCTTCCGCGCGTTAAGTACAACAAGAAGATGGGAAATAAAAGGGAAAGATAACGCCTTAGATATTTTGAGAGGAAAAAACCGAGTGAAGAGAGAAACCCTTTTTTTAGAAGAAAAAGCTCATTCTATCCGGTAAATTTCGAGCTTACTTCTTTACGGAAAAACAAGTGGGATTAGGCTGGAATTTAGGGTTTCATTTTTCTCTTTTTCCATTGTGATACACTGTGTGCGCGCTTGTGTGTGACTGCCTTGAGTGTTTGGAACCCCACTTGGATCTTGGACAAGTACTTGGAAAATCGAAGATTGAGCAGGAAAAACCAAACCCTTGTCGGAGCTTCCTCCATTGCAGACTTTGTGTTCTGCCCATGATCCAATTCTTTTTGGGTTTTTTGCAAGGACCAACCTTGTGTAATCTCAAATTGTTGAAAGAAATCTTGTATTAAAAGAATTAGCACAAAACCCCTATGAAAATTAATCAAATGCAATAAGAACCCTGAGAGCTCAACGTGGGCGAGTGGGCGTGTGTTTTGGGACTTGAAAAGACCCAAATAGCCTCTAAATTAAAATTTCCAAAAATTATAAATTCACCCCTAAAATGAAGTTTTCAAAATTTTTAATTCAGTCCCTAATACTTTCAGAAATGTCCTCTTCAACATCAATATTCAAACTTTCCTTTCCGGCCCAAAAACAAATCTTCTTCGCGAGACCATTTCAGAAGATTTGGACCATAAACAGCTCAGCCAGCATCTGCATCTATACAAATTATCCATATTATCAGGAATCGGAACACCTCGCTGAATTTCTTCCTCGATATTCTGTTAAAATGAAATCTTCAACATTCTTCTTCTCGCGAGGGGGGTGACGTCAGTTGCTGGGTTGGGGTCTAGCTTGGATCTCGCCGGAAGCTTGGCTGGAAGAGGTACCTGCAACACCAGGAAATGGTTTTCCCGACGTAGAGGCTCCGACGATCAAGTTAGAGACAACCTTAAAGATTTTTCGTAAGTTTATTTATGTGTACGTGTGTGTATTATTGTGTGTGAAGATTTTTAGGAGGACTTCTTTTTTATAGAGGTTTCTTGCCTTGGAGGCCAAGACTTTTCTTTTAGAGTTTTCTCCGTACTTTTTGGTTCTGTCGCCAAGTATTGGGCCTTCTTGAAACTTCTACAATCTTTGAGTCCCTTCGAAGGCCCGAGCTGAGATCTTTGCCTACCTCACCTCGTGCGACTTACAAGGCTCCTCGTGGTCTGAGTCGAAACATTGTATATGTTTTGGCCAGGCCCTTACTATAGTCTTTATGTTGTCCATTGGACCGGTCATGTAGCTTAATGGGACTTAGGCCCTTTTATAGTTATATTTATTTACAGGAAAACACCTAAAGGCGAGGTGGTCCATATGAAACATATTTCCCAACAACTCTGTGTGTTTTCTCTGAATTTAGCACAATCCACTTGGGGTGTCCCACTTTTTGAAAGGTTGTAGGGTGGTGATGGAATTTGATAGGGTGTAAAAAATCGAGACCGGGGTAGACGATGTGGTGGAGCGTGGATAGGATATCGAGTATGATTCGTCCAGTCGAAGGGGAAGCCTACACCGCCCCTAAAGCGATCCTAAAAGCATCTCATCGAGCTTGGCCAACCGTTATTATGGAAGGGGATTGTTTGAATATCATCGGAGCCCTTCAAGACGAAGATCATTCTTCACGTCTGACGGTGCTTTTATAGAGGAAATTAAAATTACTGCCAAATCATTTAATAGTTGCTCGTTTTCTTTTGTTAAACGTCATTGTAATCAACTTGCTCACTTCCTTGCTAGTGCTTCAGACTTAGCTTGTTTGGAGGGTTCATCTGTACCTCCCAACTAGCGTGTTATGCCTAATAAATGCTCATCGTTTCTCTTTCAAAAAAAAAATCGAGACTTGGCAAATGGGGGACTCAAGAAAACGAGATGTATGGATAATCATTTAATCGGTAAAAACCCTAACATGAGTGTTATTGCAATGGTGATGAAAAGATGATGGTTGTTGGATCCATGGTTCGCCGGAACGGCGTTGGAACGGTCGGGATGGAACGGGAACGGTGCCCTCCGTTCCGGAATCCGTAATCCGAACGGTTTTTTCACCGTGACTCAAGAGAACGTTGAGAAAACGGTGCAATGGGCGAGACAGAGCCACGGAACGGCCGAAACGGCGCCAGAGCAAGAGAAAATAATTATAAAAAAAAATACAGTTTGACTAATTTAAATTAAAAAAAATAAGGGGAAAAAAAAGAGAAGAAGAAAAGGAAATAATAAGATGGTGGTGGCCACGTTGGAGAATAATAGAGGTTCCCCTAAAACCAAGGTTGTAAAAAGCGGTAATTGGGTCGGAGGCGGTCAGACACCAACTCACGATTAATCAGTGCAGCGGTGATAAATCGGAAATAAAACGATTTTTAAAATTTAATATAATATATTTCTAGATATTATTTATAAAGAGACGTGCTATTTTCACCCTCGAAATATCTTATTTCACCACCAAACTAAATATATTTTTAATTTTACCCATTTCTTCTTATTTCACTTATATTTTTTACAAATTTATAAACCACCTACCACTAAATTAATTAAAATATTTATAAAAAAAATCGCACATCTTTCACCGGAAATCACACCCTCTCCACCTTAAGTGAATAATACTTTCGTCAGAAAAAACATTTTCTAAGGTCAAAAATAGCAGGAATTCACGTTTTTTGAGAAATAAATTAAGATTACTTATATGGAAGTTCCTCCAGAATTGGCCAGTTTGGCTTAACATAATTTCGTTTCCTAAAAAAGAATTACATAATATGTTGATCATCTGATATGGAAGTTTAAATATCTTGTTAATAAATATTTCATCGTAAAAAATAAAAATTAAAATTTAAAAAGTATATAAAAAAAATAATAAAAAATTAATAAAATAAAATAGAAATAACTTAGAACACATGAGGATTAAGTGAATATAATGAAGGGTGGTGTATTACAAATTTGATGGGTATTATGACATTTTATAATTTTCGGTTGTGAATTGAGATAATTTGGAGGTGGAAATAGCACTACTCTTATAAATACTCAAAACATATATAAAAAGATATTTAAACATAGTTATAATAAAAGTTTAAAAATAATAAGATCATAATACATAAATATCCTTATAAAATATAAATAAAAAAGCATTTTTTTTGAATTTACATTTATTCTTGAACATTCATGGCATATGCATCATTAGTTCTTTAACAATAACAATTAACATAAACATAATAAAGCATAAACTCATTTTTTTTTTATTAAAATCCCAACTTTTATTTTGAATTAAAAAAAAAAAAAAAAAAAAAACTGATTTTTGACCGATTTTTGCCACCGAGTTTGACCGTCTTAGACCGCCTCAGACCGCCTAAAACCGCATCAATGTCAAAAAACCGATTTTTCAAACCCTTACACTAAAATCGTAAAGGTTTGGGACCGCCTCCACCTCGGAGACCGATTAATCGGCCGCCTCGGCCGATTTTTAGAACACTGCCTGAAACACAGGTTCCTAAAACACGGATGTTTGGCCTCACTCTTCAATTATAGCTTACACAATTCTAGCTCGGCATTCTACGTGGTATTAATATTGCTTATATATATTTTCATAATGTTCTTTGTAATATTTATTTTTGAAATTGTAATAATATTTTGCATATTATTGTATTGTAATATTGTTATTAAAAACATATTTGAAATATATTATATCTTTTTAGCAATTTAATAAAAATATGTCCGTTCCGGCTGCGACGTTGCAACGAAATTGGAACGGTAGTGTCCGCGACAATGCACCGTTCCGTTCCAACAAACTATGGCTGGATCTTAAACAATTTGTTTTAATTAGTTTACAAAATGAAGAAGTTTGTTTGGGGTGGGGAGGCGGATGTGCTGCTGGTGCGGCGGCAGAGTTCTGTGGAGGGTTGCGGTTGTTGGGTGGAGAAGATGGTGGGTGTGTCATGTGTTTAATAATTTATTATTTTTTGTTTTGGTTTTTTATATTTAGTATATTTCTGTTTCCATTTCATTTATTTAAAATGCAAATATTATTAAAAAATTATTAAGGATAGTTTAATCATTTCATGGAGTCATCAACCAATCTCGAAGAAAGGGGCAGGCTCTCTCTCTAAACCATAACATAAAGGGTTCTTTGCTAATTTTTTTAATATGAGGACTTTTTCAATAATTCGAAATTATATAGAAGGTTCTATGGAATTAGCTCAATTCTTTTTCCTTGTTTATTTTTTCCAATTCTGAATTTATTTTAGGCTTGTATGTCAATTCTGTGATTACAGCTGTTGGAAGAGTCAATTCTTGTTGTCGTGGTTAGTTGCTACTAATTAATTATTGGTCTAATTTGCTGAATGATTCTTCTAATTTGCTGTTAAATATTGTATACTGTAGTTGGTATTATTTGACTAGGATTTCTAGATTAGAATATACAACACCCCCACATAATTATTTTCCAATTCCTTAATATTCAAAATCCAGTAGTAGCATTGAAGTAAAGATTTATTTGGCCAAATTTGAAAAGCTTCAGAATCATAAATGGCGGCTTATGCATCTCTAGTTTCACTTATGACTACCATGGATCATATCCAGAGTCATCCTCTCTTTTCGATTTCTTTCGACAAGTACCAGATGGAATCTCTCGGCGAGAAGGTTCGTTTCTTGCTAGAATTCATAGAGGCCGATTATTCCCATGGAGTTATTATTACAATCAAACAATTCGAAATTTTGGAGAGCCAAATTGCAGCTGCAGCCTATGCTGCTGAAGATGTAATCGAATCTCACGTCGTCGACCAAATTCACGCAATGAAAGATTCCAAAAGGAATTCTGTGCCACTACTCTGCTGCTTCAAGGAACCTGTAACTACTGAATCTGATCCATTGCACCAAATTCCCGGTGGTTCAGTTTCGTCGGTCGATCTTCAAACGGTAATCGAAGAAATGGATTCCGTCGAAAAAAAGGTTATGGAGTTCAAAGATGAGATTGGATCCAAAGACGATCGTTATATGCAGCAGCCCACGTGTTCGATGGTGACTACTACATGGACACCGGGGAAGAATACTATGGTCGGATTTGACGAACAGTTGCTTCGACTTTTGGACAAGCTCACCGGTCAACGATGTGACCGGCAAGTCATTCCGATTGTGGGCATGGGCGGCATTGGTAAGACTACTCTCGCCAAAAATGCTTACGAACATTCACTTACTATGCACCATTTTGATATTCGTACTTGGGTCACGGTATCTCAAAAGTATAATGTGAGAGAACTTTTTGTTCAACTTCATTCAAGGCTAATAAGTAGTGAAATCAATGGTGAAATTGACGAGCAATTATTAGGACAAAAGTTGCACAAAATACTATGGGGTCGGAGATATCTGATTGTAATCGATGATATTTGGAGTATTGAAGCTTGGAAGGAGGTAAGTCGTTTCTTTCCAGACAACAACAATGGAAGTCGAATTGTTGTGACTACAAGGATATCAAATGTGGCTATTTATTTCGACTATGCGTGCTTCGAGTTGACTTTTCTAGATGAGGATAAAAGTTGGAAACTATTTTGTGAAAAGGCATTTGGTCAAGTCGGTTGCCCTTCCGAGCTAGAGGATATTGGAAAGGAGATTGTTAAGAAATGCAAAGGACTTCCCCCTTTCGATTTCTGTGATTGGTGGGCTTCTTGGAAGATCCAACAGAACGCATAAATACTGGAAAAATATTGCAAAAGATCTAACCTCAATTCTCAACTCTGGAGAGGACGAGAATTGCTTGAGTATATTATCTTTGAGTTACACCTACTTGCCTGTCTATCTTAAACCATGTTTTCTATACATGGCAATTTTTCCAGAAGACGATGATATTCATGTCTCCGGACTGATCAAACTTTGGGTAGCCGAAGGGTTTATAAAACCAAATGAATCACAAAGCTTGGAAGAGATTGCACGAGGTTACATAAATGATCTCATCGACAGGAATCTCATTTTAAAACAATATTTGGGATCGAATAGAAAAGTTCAAATTTGTAAGATCCATGATCTTTTGAGAGACTTATGTCTAAAGATAGTTCAGAAAGACAAGTTTATGTGTATGATGGAAGAAAATCCAAGAGGAGTAGAAAGTGAACGTCGTATTGTATGTAACAGAAAGGGGGTCCGTCGTCATACTTTGCAATTAGCACCGCTTACCCGTACTTTGGTAACGAGCACAGACGGTCGATTGTCCAACAATAGATTGTTGAGAGTAATGTCTTTCAACGATAAAGCGAAGAAAAAGTATTTACACCGGCATATTGTTGACCAAGTTAACTTGCGGTATCTTGCTTATAACGAATTCAATAACTCCTCTTCTTCTGTCAAGCTTCCTACGTCGATAGGCGTACTCTGGAGTTTGCAAACAATAATTATTGGAAGGGATATCGAAGCACCGTCTCAAATTTGGGAGATGCGACAACTTATGCATGTGGATATTCGTAAGTTGTACCTTCCCGATCCTCCTCAGAATCAAAAACAGGATGAGTTTGTTTTGCAAAATCTGCAAAAACTCGGGAATGTAACAAACTTCGTGTGGAGCGAGGAGGCTTGTAAGAGAGTCGCCAATGTCAGGAAATTGCACATAGAGTACGATAACGACTCGAAAAGCTCAAATGACTATTCGCTCCACAATATTAGCCGCTTGTGTAAACTTGAATCGCTTGCGTTCTTTCCTTACGGTCTACCCAATTTGTTGCAGAAGCTCACGTTCCCGAGTTCACTCAAGAAGTTGCATTTAAACGGTTGCGATGTTCGCTGGGAAGATTTGTCGGTGATTGGCTCGTTGCCTTATCTTGAAGTTTTGAAACTGAGTGTGGGTCGGGTGGAAGGAGAAGTGTGGAATCCTGTTGAGGGGGAATTCCTTCGCCTGAAATTCTTGTCAATACTTTGTTTTGATATTGTTTATTGGAATGCAGACTGCTCACATTTTCCGGTTTTGGAGAAACTTGAACTCATGGGAATGGATAAATTGGAAGAGATCCCTTTAGATATTGGAGAAATACCAACGCTTGAACTTGTCCTTTTATATAGGTGCACCGAGTCTGCCGCCATTTCTGCTATGAAAATAGCGGTGGAACAAGAGAATAATGGTAACGACGTACTTCGAGTTCAAGTTCATTTCCATACGAAGGAACAATTAGAGAGTTTCAAGAAGAAGGTCGAACAATTAGCAACGAGCTTTACGGGAAATAATTTTCAAGCCAAGTATTTCTAGTTTCAACATTGAATTGCTCCACATTCTTGTAACAAACTTGGGGCTTATTATTTTTCTTTTATTTTTATTTTTTTCGTTTGAGGTCGAGAAATGAAATTTATCATTGTGAAGTTTATAAGATGTGTTTTTATTTTCTTGTGTAAGCAAAATAGGTCTCTAAATTTCATTTTAGAGACTCGTTGAACGTCTCTAAACTTCATTTTAGAGACTCGTTAAAAGACTCAGTGTCTCTAAAATGAAGTCGATCTCGAGTGATCGAGATTCTATAAAATTAATTTCGATCTTTAGACACTTGCGCTTTTAAGAAATATGTTGTTCAATAATTCCGAGTTGCATAGGGTCTTCGCCTCTTCGGTCTCTCCTTACTATAGTCCGTCATTAACAAATTAGATCGATGCTATATTTGTATCCAGTGATTAATTAAGTACTAAATAACTATCAAGAATTACCATGAAATCAAGTGTTTTCTTTTCTTTTTTTTCCGCCTTCGGGTAATGTCTCTTTTGCCCCTCATCATATCATACCTCTACGCTTCATCTCTTGTCTAGTAGCATGCTGTTTTCCCCTGAGATGCATCTCGAAGCAGTCCTCGTTCATGCAGCTGACGTGGCACAGCTCACAAAACACCGGCTTCTTCTTAGCCACGATCCCTCCAGTTCCGTTCCTCCTACATTCCTCAAGTTCATGCAGTTTGGCCTTGTGCTTACGCCCCTTCAGGTGCATCTCCATTGTATCCCTATCCGAGCAGAAAATTTGGCAGACGTTGCACCTCGGCTGCTTTACGGTGCAGTTCCTCGTCTTCAGCTGCATCCACACCAGCTTCGCCTTGTGGGGCCGGCCCCTCAGGTGGTCCTGCATTGTGGTCCCACTTGAGCAGCTGACCTGGCAGAGCTCGCAGAATAAATTCCGGGGGGATTTATTCACCGCTTTGCTGCTGTTGTTACTGTAGGCTGGTGGTGGATTTAGCAATTCTTGAATGTCGATTTGTTTTCTCTTTAAACTCGAACGCGGCTTTGTGGGGATGATCTGCCCGGGAAAATATATTGGCCTTTGAGTTTCTGTGTCGGTTTTCGGAATCAAAATAGCCTTTGGAGGTGGAGTTTTTGCCAGAATCTGTCGACGCCAAAAAAAAGGATTCTAGTTAACAAACATGGAAAAAGGACTTTAATTTATTTTTGCAAAAATTAGAAATAAAATTTGTTTAATTACCAATGGGAGTTCAAATGATGAGTTATAAGTCAGAAGTTTTTTGTCGAAAAGTTTGCTCGGGTTTATCCAATCTTTATGAGGTGATGAAGGATTTATGAGGCTCGATATTTCATCGGAATATGGCTCCTGAATGATACGAAAAATACGATAAATTCAGACAATGAATTCTTTTAATTAGTACATTTTGATGCAAGAACTCACAATTTTTATCAAACTCTGCTCTGTGTGATATTGGGGTCGTGGAGACGGAATCGTAAGCCTTGGATGTTCCATCGAAGATTGTACCTTCAACCGGGAAATTAAATATTAATAAAAAATAAAAAATAAAGATCGAGCGGTAAATTGTTAATTAAGGTGAAAAAGGTTTGAGGTACGAAACTAACTTTTGATGAACATGCGTTCGTCCAATCCCCGAAGCTTGGAGATCGAGTCAGGGTTTTCACGACTTCGTTATTCGGACTTGGAACCTTATAAAATAGGTGTAATTATGTAGAAAATGTATCGGAAACTGCTTGTTAGGAAAATATATATGATGTAATAATAATAATTAACATTTAGCAGATGTATCGCAAAGTATATATGATCAGCATACAAGTTTGTCCCGACAAAAATATATGAATATCTCATTTATGATTCGAAACGCAGACTTAAACACATTACTTTGGATTTTCATCCAAGACTGTAAATCAGAGAAAAAAAATTAAAAAGAAAATGAGAATTTACGAGCCAAGAAAATTATATTTACTATTGTAAAAGATAAATACTATAAATTTGATGAATTAACAGTATGAATGCAAGAAAGTCCGTCATTACATGTAAGACGACAGATGTGGAGAAATATGAATACGAAAAATCGGTTGATGCCTACCTTTTTGCGGTTCGCTAGCTCCCTTTGAAGTGCTAGTTCCAAACCGGACTTATGCGCAACAAACATTTCTCGTTCGATTAAATTGTATCCCTTCAAAAAACAGTTGACACAAAATTAATACATTTCAAGAGAAGGGATTAATTATTATTATACGGGGAATGTAACATTTCTCAAACAAATTCGCAGAGCAATCACTGAAAAATAGATGACGGTCGCTTCGAATTCTAAAGAGAATGATCGAATACAGGGACAAAACACATACATTATACATAGAGAGAGAGAGAGAGAGAGAGAGAGAGAGAGAGAGAAGAAAAAAAAAAGGCTTGAAAATGGTTACCTTACTGAAAGCAGAAAAAAGACTCAATAGAGTGTGAAAACAAAAGCAGGCCTTAAAAATTAAATATGGTGTTTGTGAAGTACAACAGAAATAATTATCAAAAAAAAAAAAAAAGAAGTACAACAGAAAGGACTAAAACACACACAAGGCATGATGCATGTATATATGAGTAATGTGCAAAAAATACCCCTGTGTAATCCTTATCTGCCAAAAAAGCCCCTATAATAAAAAAAAAACTAGCAAAAACCCCCCTACATAAAAAGGTCAAAGGCAAAAAAACCCTTCCGAGTAGATCGTGTGCACACTCGCTGCTTGAGTGATTTTTTTCTTCATTTTTGCTTATGCAATGACAGAATTGCCCCCCAAGCCCATACCACCATCATCATCATCTCTCCACTCCCCTTTTCTCTCTCTTCGAAGAACAAAAACTTTTCTTCTGCACACATATCAACCCTAAAACTCCAAGATTTCTTACAATATTTTTAAATGGAATTGAAGAACACAATCTCTCTGCATTTTCGTGCAATCACCGCCTCCGCTTAGAAATCACTCAATTTGCTGCTGCAAATCCGATGTTGGAAGTTAGTAAGTTATCATCGTCATCGTGACACTAAAATTGTGAGAATCTTCAATTTCTTTTTCAATTAGCAGCTATTACGGTGATCCGTCTCTGAAATGATGCAAATGCACTTCAATTGGACGAGTTCATGCCAGTTCCCGTGAAAAATACACGGAAATTATAATTTGGGGCAAGTGCAACCGGAACAAAATTTAAATACAGAAAATTATAATTTGGGGCAAAGTGCTAAGGGAACAAAATTTTGAAGGGAAAAATAGTTTTTTTGTTGAATTTATAGGGGTGAAAGTGTGAAAATTGAAAAATATTAGGGGGCCGAAGTTGTCCCTTATTTATTTATTTATTTACATATACATACTTCAAGAGTTGCCTACATGTATAACATAAAATTAAAATTCTTGTAAATCCGCTTCAATTCCCCCCGCCAAACCCTTTCGCCGCTGCTTCCTCTCTCTCCGCCGCTCTCCTCCGGCCATTCTATCAGGTAATTGAGTTGATGTGGAAATTGTTTCCGATTAACGGCGAGCCCTTTTCATATTATCCAGTACTCTATTACTCGATTCTTGATGGTATGTTAAGCAGGTTTTTTAATTTACTTTTGGTTTCATTACAGCCCCTGTGAAAGATATTAGCTTTGATCTTAGAATTTTCAATCTATTTGTGTGGGTATTATGTGTGCCTCAATGTTTGTTTTTGTGGTCTATTTAGCACTAATTTCGAGAGTTGGGAATGGTGGCCGTTAATTATAATTGGGATTCAATTTTCAGAGAAATTTTGTAGCTTCTGCGGAACTGCAATTTGTTAAAGATAATATGATCTTCTTTATAAATATCAATGTTTTTAAAACCGGACCGGACATTGTTGGACCGGTTCAACCGGGGTTTAACCGGGTTTTTTAATTTTTTTATTTATTTAATTATTTATATATATATTTAAAAGTAATTATTATATTTTTAAATTATTTATATATATTTATGATTATGATCAATACTAATATTTATCTAAAGACCATAATCTATTTATTAATCACCCCAATAAAATATATATAAAAATACACAAAATATAGAAATTACATCAAATTTAAAAATTAATTTTTGAAAAATAAAAGCATAAACCCTACATTGAAATAACATTTCCGCCGTCAACTCCCCTCTCTCGCATCCTCTTCCTCTACCCATTTTTTTAAATATCCTTTCTTAATCCTCCTTCTTCCTCCACTCGCCCACCAGGCACTACTACATCACTGCCAATTTTCTTGTCAAGCTTTGAACAGATCCAGTGAAGAGGTAATCGATTTTCTATTTATCCCTTTTTTTTCCCCTTGTTTTGATGAAAAACCGGGTTTTTTTCTGGTTTCGGGTCGGCGGTTCAACCGTGGGTTTTCCGGTTCTTCATCACCTGACCCGGTTTTTAGGCACTTTTGGGTTTTTACATCCAACCGGACCGGACTTGGCGGCGGTTCACGGTTAAACCGGCCGGTCCGGTCCGGGTTTCAAAACATTGATAAATATGGATTCATTGTAACTATTTTGTTTTTTAAATAATTTTGTACGTTTCAATGTGTTTTTTTTTCATAGTCGAAATGGATATTAGTGATGATTTTTGATGGTGCAAAGAGTGTTGTTTACAGTGATTCTTTGCTTTTTGATTATTTTCTCGAAAAGTATTGCTGATTTTGTGTAATTGGATATGTTAAGAGATCTCTGTCCGTCGTGTGATGAAGATGTATTTTTTTTTTTCGATTTTACTATTTGTTACCGACCATTCACATGTTCGTGTTTTCATGATTAAAACTTCTCAGGTACTTAGTTTTACGGCTCCACAATAACTATAGCATCAACAACGTCCATTCTTATATCCAAATTAGTATGGATTCTGTAAAATCGGTTAACTTATCCATACAGGATAATGTACTTCAGCCACTCTTTATTTCTTCCGGCTCTTCGACTTTACACGAAGCACTAGAGCGGCTAATCGAAACTGCCAAAACTTCCGATGGACGATTATCCCTTTCTTCCAAAGATATTATCAAACCAGCCCTCGAACTTTGCCAATATCCTTTACGAGTCCCACACCAAGAACTTCTTTTAGCCGTAAAACTACTTCGAAACATGTGTGCGGGTGAAATTAAAAACCAGGACCTATTTATCGAACAAAACGGCGTTGGTATTCTTTCAACCCTCGTTGGTTCTATGTGTTCGAATTCTGGTTCTGATAATGAGATACTTCGTATGGTATTGCAAGCGTTGGGAAATGTTTCGTTAGCCGGTGAAAAACATCAAGAAGCTGTGTGGGCCCAGTTCTTCTCCCTTGGATTTATCGATATTGCTCGAGTTCAAAGCAAGGAAACATGTGATCCTTTGTGCATGGTTATCTACACATGTTCTGAAGGTACTAATGAAAGATCGGGTGAACTGCTTTCCGATCAGGGGCTGGATATCATTGTAGAAATCGTACGAACAGTTACAGCAGGTAATCGATCTCCTCGTAAATTTCAAGATTGAGCTAATAAATACACCGTTTCTTGTAAAGATTTGATTTTTACTGCACCCCGTTAATATGAAATTTGATATTTGCAGTCGGTTTTAGTGAGGATTGGTTGAAATTGCTCCTTTCAAAGATCTGCTTTGACGAATCCTATTTTTCGTCAATTTTCTCTAAATTATCCGAGAACTGCGACGAAGACGTACCGCAAATTTCTCATTTTGGAGACCAAGAAGCATTCTTGCTGAGCATTCTTTCAGAAATATTAAACGAGCGGCTCGGAGAAATTGTAGTCTCGAGCGATTTTTCTTTGTCAATTTTTCAGATATTGAGAAATGCCGTTGAGATTGTCGATTTCAGCACAAGGGCAAAATCGTCTCTTCCAACCGGTTCATCCGTTACTGATGTTATGGGCTACGCTCTCTCCCTCATAAGAGATATTACCGCGTGCGACGGTCCAAACGTGGATACATTATTGCGGGCCGGGCTTATTAAATTTCTTATAGGCCTGCTTCGAAATTTAGAGCCTCCAACATTGATTAGGAGATCAACGGTCCGCGCAGATACTGAAGACGATACGACTCCTCGATTTTCCAAGTACTGCTGTCCTTACAAAGGCTTTCGAAGAGATATTGTGGGCGTTATCGGAAACTGCAGCTATGGGAGGATTAGTGTGCAGGATGAGATACGAGAGCAAGATGGGATTCTTTTGATGCTGCAGCAGTGTGTGACGGATGACGATAACCCGTTTTTGAGGGAGTGGGGAATTTGGTCGATGAGAAATATTTTGGAAGGGAACGTTAAAAATCGAGAATTGGTTGTTGAGTTGGAGGTGCAGGGATCTGTTGATACTCCTGAAATTGCTGGAGTTGGGCTTCGAGTTGAAATCGATCCTGTGACTCGTCGGCCAAAGCTCGTTAATGCTTTGTGAAGGTATTCGAGGCTTCTTTTTTTGTGATTGATTATTGAATTTCTCGGTTTAAAACTGCAATTATACGTCGTTCGATGTTTGTTTGATTGAAGATCTGACTAAAAAAACCGATTGAATCAGACAAAAACTAGACTGAGTGGGAAAAAAAGGATGGGTTCGACCGAAAATATCGGACTTTTTTTATGTTTTTATATGATGAAATTATTTACGGGTAGTTAATAAATTGAAGTGGGGTTCTTTTAAGTTGATGTTCAATGACGAATATGTTTTTTTTAATGTATTTTTACGACACGGATAACTTTTATTATGCGACTTAGTGTTGGCTTTCCGATTCTGATTTTGAATGCATTGTTCTCATATTGTGGTTTTCTCCAATTTTCTCAGATTCTCGAGTGGTTGGATGAAAGAATCGGTAGCTCGAGATGGAAGGATCGAACGGGGGCATGCATGAATGTTGAAATGGGAACTGGCAAGGCGAAACATTTTGTGCAGTGTGGATTTCAACATTCAAGAAAACAGATTATTCAGACAAGTGTTAGTGACTGCATCAAGGAATGATGAACATTGCAGAATGTTTCACAATCAGAATATGATTTGATCATAAATTAAAGTTTAATGTATATCTCTAATTAGCTCTAAGTAGATTGCATAATTAGAGCTAAAAATATTTGCATGTTTTTGGGGTCTAATGTAACGTCTTGTTTTCTTGACTTTCTCAACAATAAGCATATTTACTCTTCTCTTAATTTCACATATATTGTGCTTATCTCGAAAAATTGAAAGTCGGAAAAAATCACAAAACATAGGCTCATTAGTTTGTGTAATGTGGTCTACAAGATATGGTCTAAGGTCATCGCTAATGGCTTAACCGGACTTTAAACGATATTATTTCTCCTACCCAATCCACATTTGTCCCTAATCGTCTCATCACTAATAATATTCTAATAGCCTACGAAGTTAATCATTTTATCAAAACCTCTAATGGCAAACAAGTTAATTTCATGGCAGTTAAATTAGACATTAGTAAAGTGTACGATCGTATTGAACCGATCTTTTAGATGAAAATTCTCTCTCGTCTTGGTTTCTTGTTTGATTTTATTGATCTCATCATGTTTTGCGTTTCGACCATCTCTTATGCCTTTTTGTTTAGGGGTTATTTTACATATCCCCTATCCACCAAATAAACTAGGGATAAACTAAAGTCCAAATTATCCTTTGACATAGCCCACTGGAGAAGCAAAAGTACTATACTGCCCTTATATGCAATTTTCGGCCAAACTGCATTCAACATTTCTGGTCCTGCATTTATCATTTTCGCTGATTCATTTCTTATTATTTTTCTTATTTTTTTTTATATTTTTTAATCATAAACCTGTTTGTTATATATATATATATATATATATATATATATATTATTTTTTTTTTAATTTTCAAAACAATATGTTTACTGGACTGAAAATAACTACATGTAACTCCAGTACCTATAGTAATTCGTAGTTATGTTCGTTTTTTTACCCCATATTTTTAGTCGATCAATTGTATACACACACGAATACTGGCTTATACAAAAGAAATTCATAAACCCCAACAAAAATTTACAAATTTCAATATTTTTATTATAAATCACCTCAAAACCAATAAAATACAAAGCGTAAATACACAAATATATGCATATGTAACTACATGTTACTATATGTACAGTAATGTATAGTATATATACAGTTTGTTGAACACTGTAACTTGAAGCAGATGTAACTTCAACCAAATTTTTGACACCTTCAAGGAGATGTTTTTGGGCTTTCATTAAGCGGCATTGGCAAAATAAAAAAAAATTTCTTTTGGGGCAATTCACCAAATTTGGAGGAACCTTCAAACCCCTCAAAATTCACCAACCCTTTTGAGATGGGGAGTTGGGGGGGGGGTTTTTTCCTGGGAAATGCTCCAGTTTTTAATTCAACCAGATGGGGATTCTTCACCCCCCCCCCCCCCCCCGCTCTTACCAAAACCCTAGATGCTGCTAATAACCACCTACGGTTTCGCGCGTCCACAAATGCAATAAATGTGAAAAAATAAAAATAAACAAAATTACCATCAAAATATAAACGAGAGGAATCCAACGGTGGGTAGCCCGTCAAATTTCGACTGGTGGAACACAAAATACACATCCGGCAAGACTACCGTCTCGAATGAAAAATAATTGCAGAAATTGATCAGCGCTCCAAATTGAATGAAATCACCACCAAAAGAAAGAGCGCTACAAGAGAAATTCAACGGTAGTTAAACCATCGAATTCCGACCACCGGAGAGAGAGAGTTATGACTTCGGGAAGCAATTTCGCCGATTGAAAATATATGGAGGCGGAATTTGAATGTGGGAGAGGAAGAGAGAGACGATTGTGAGTGGCTAGGGTTTAAAACTGATTTTAAAAGGGTATTATAGGGACTTCAGGGTGGCCGATGGTGGTATGTCAAAGTATTTTCGAAATGAGGAGGGTTTCCCTAAAGTGTAATCCACTTGGTAGTTCCGATACAAAATATTTAAAAAAATCGAAAATCACAATTTCAAAAATTAAAATGAAAAATATTATTCCAAAATCAATTTTTTTTTTAAATAATAAGTGGAAATCAAAATCCCTTCCAATTTAAAATTTTCAGTCTAATATGCTATGCATAGCAAAAAAGAAATATAATGAGTGAAATAACCCTGAAATAAATAACCCCAAGAAATGGAATGAATTTACAGTTTAAACCACAGCAAAATCAGTAATCGATGAACACGTAGTAATTACTGGCTGGGCTGCTGCTGCTGCTGGTGCTGTGCTGTTGATGCCATCGTCTTAAATGAAAAAAAGTCCTTAAAGCTTATTAAACCCATTTCTCGATTTTCACGAAACCTATTTCAAAATTCAATACCTTCTTTCCCCTTTCTCTCTCTACCAATTATACCTTTTTCTCCTCCCCAGGGTTTTTTCGTTGTCCTTCAATTCAATTTTTTTTTTCTTTTGAACTGTGTGGGCAGCCCTTTGATTTTTCTGTGCGAAAAAATGAGTATCGAGAGCACCGCCATGAGATGGGAGAGGGTTCTGCGGAGAGAAGTGAGCGGTGGGCCCGGTGTGAGGTGGGGCCACACATGCAACGCCATTAGAGGGGGCAAGCTTCTCTATGTTTTCGGCGGTTATGGGAAGGATCAGTGCCAGACTAATCAACTTCATATCTTTGATACCGGTTTGTTTCCCCCCCCCCCCCCCCCCCTTCTTGTTTTTTTCATATAGGTCTTTTATTTATTTTTTAATTAATTGGATTTTTGCACGATGTGTTTTGTTTACTTTATATTTAATTCGTGGGTTTTATGTGTAGAAAATGCCTGTTTGCTTCTTTGTTATGCTTACGGTTTGATGAAATTGGGAATGGACTAGATAGAACAACCCAAACAAGTAACCATGTGCGTGGAATTCTCGAAGAAAGAGGAATTTGGGGAAGAAGAAGTGGAAAAGAACGGATACGAATTTAAAATCGAGATCCGACAAAGTTCTTTAACAAATTTTATCTTGTATTTAAAAAGGGTTAAATATGTTTATCTGGTTGTCAGTCACATCATCAATCGATTAGTTATTATATGGTGTTGGATTTGGAAAGTCGGGGGCTTCTATACACATTTTCTTGAATTTTCCAGTTATTCATAAATGATACGAAAACTGTTGAAATCGTGTTTCATTAATTTTAGGGAGTGCATGATTTTTTTGTCATTGTAATTTGCTCTCCACATTCTTGTAAGAATGCTGTTTATGATTCAGTTTCGAGTTCCATAAGTATTTGCCCTCACTATTTTGTGTTTCTATGTGATCAGTCAATATGCTTTGGAGCGAGCCTTCGGTGAAGGGCACACCACCTACCCCAAGAGACAGCCACAGCTGTACAACAGTCGGTGATAATTTGTTCGTATTCGGCGGTACAGATGGAAGAAAGCCGCTTAACGATTTGCATATATTAGATACCTGTGAGTTGTTTATCCATTTTACTTCTTTTTATATTCTTGTTGTAATCATATAAAAATTGTCGATTAACTTTATACTGACACATGTTTTACACATGCAAGCCTCCAATACGTGGATCTTACCAAGCGTCAGAGGCGACGGGCCGGAACCACGAGAAGGTCACAGTGCAGCTCTTATTGGTAAACGACTCTTCATATTTGGTGGATGTGGTAAATCCGACAACAGTGAGATCTACTACGATGATCTCTACATTTTAAATACCGGTACGCACTTTTTACTTTGCCTCCCAGTCGCCTTCAATTAGATAAACAAATATAATTCTTAAAAACCCAATTTTCTTATCTCGTTCTTCAATTATTTGCAGAGACCTTCTCGTGGAAACGTGTAGTTCCATCGGGCACCCCTCCAAGTAAGAGAGACAGCCATACATGCTCGTCTTGGAAGAACAAAATCATTGTCATAGGTGGTGAAGACTCGTGTGATTACTACCTATCAGATGTTTACATACTCGATGCTGGTATGATCGAATTGTCTTTTATTAACTATATGTTTTAACTCCGTTTTCATATGACAGTTTTCTTGATAAATTATATTGACTTAATTTATTTTGTTATCCTTGGACGAACAGATACTCTTGTGTGGTGTAAGTTGAACACTTCTGGCCAACTAATGCCGCCTCGTGGCGGTCACACTACAATTGCTTTTGGCAATAAGTTATTTGTCTTTGGTGGTTTCTCGGATGAGCAGAGCTTGTATGATGATGTGTATATGCTTGACATTGGTAAGTGATTGCCTTTTTTTTTTTTTTTTTTCCAAAAATAGGATTTGAAGTACATTGCAGAATCGATAAAATCTCGATTACTTGAGATATCTTTTTTTTCTTTTTCTTACATAAATAATTTTAATGGCTTAGATTGGTTTTTAAAATTTTTGAAAAATCAAAGTAGTTTATGCATGAAAAAAGGTTACAAGATTTGACATTCATCAATTAGTTGAGATGCAGTGAAATTCTTGACACATCATTTTTAGTTAAGATGTGTGCACGGCAATTCGGTAAAGATTGTTCATCAATCTTTAAAAAAAACTTATTTGCTGATTTTGAATGTAGAAACTGGGGCATGGACAAAAATACTAGCTAATGGAGAGGGACCTTCCGGAAGATTTTCGATGGCTGGGGAAAGTTTGGATCCCGAGATGGGAGGTGTTCTTGTTTTTATAGGCGGCTGTAATAAAAATCTCGAAGCACTGGACGACATCTATTACTTGCATACAGGTTTCATTTTATCCCCCTCGTTTTTTTTTTAAATCGAAAAGTTGCACATTATCTTGTATTATAATATTAAAGCATCAAAGAATTACATTATCAGGGCTTTCAAGAGAAATTGAGCGAGAGGAGAGACGGATTGAAAAGCTCTCTCTGAGAAAACAACTGAAATTGAAATGCCAAGAACAACAAGCTATTACTCCCGCGTATGGGAAGGCTTCTTCCGGTGTCGAACATGAACAAGACACCACCATTTATCAACCCATGCCGATATCGAGTTATATGCCATCAGGCAAGACTAAATTTCTTATCTTTCTGTTAATAAAGAGGCGTTGGTATATTTGCAGTGAAAATTGAAGATAGACGTTTCAATTCGATACCCGATTCAAGTTTCCCGCATTTTTTTTTGAAGAAAATGTTTCAAGGAATAGATTGATTTTGACATCATTTCCGATGCAGGGAGGCAGAATTTCTATATAAGTGAATATCAGACTCCGATGGGAAAGAGGACTTTCCAAGCTAAAGTCATCAAATGCATGGCAGATGGATATACTATCGAAACTATGATCGATGGAAAACCTCTTCGTGGCGTGTTACTGTCCAACAAACCAGTCTCTGCTGTCATGGGTGCTGATTATTCAAACAGGTGAATATTTTTATCTGAAAACCGACATATAAGCCATTTTTTGCAAGGCAAAAAATGTTTGACAGGCTTTTGTTTCACTTTACTATTTGACGGGCTTTTGTTTCACTTTACTATAGGAAGATGGAACCTGTGAAGAACGATGGTGCCCATGTGCATGGTGATCATAATTCTGCAGTAGAGAGTGAGAAATCGACAAAGCATCAAGCGGATGATTTCAAGCAAGCAGATGCTGTTTTAAAAGAAACGGCAGAAGTTCAAGCTCGGGTGGAAATTGCTGCTTCAGAAATGAAAAATCATGCAGCTGCTGAATATTCAGTCTCCCAAGAGGTTATTTCTCTCTTTCGACTTTTTTTTTTTTATATTTAAAAATATCTGGGTATCTTAACATTTTATCTGAAAAGACGAGAGGAATTATGCTCCTTAACGTATTTTCTCGAAATCAGAGTTTTTGAAAGGGAGAAATATTTTTTTCATTCCAATATATTTCTTAGGTTCTCGACTTATATATATGCAACTATGAGGTGTTGCAGTTTCATATATTAACTTTTAAGGAGCTAGCTTCTAAGCAAGCCCATATAGGTGGTGTTTGCAAAACTTTTTCTTAAAGCAGAAGTTGGTGATTATGACTTTAAGTCAATGATAAGTACTTATTTCTAAAAGTTGGGGGTGTTTGCGAACTCCATGAAAAATCATTTCTACGCAACTTATTTTAAGAGAAGTTGCTCCGGGGGTGCTTTCTATTTTTAGCTTAAAAGAACTTTTTTTTAAGACAAGTAGAAGCAAAAGCTGCTATTGAAAACACTTCAAAAGTGATTCTGAACCAAAAAAAAGCTCAGAATCACTTTTGACTTCCACTTTTTTCACGTGTAATTGGACACATCATAAGGTATTGCTTTTGATTGTTTTATTGTTTTGTCTACATAAGCAGGTTCCTCGAGCCTCAGAACCACCCATGGAGCCTGAAAACAACGCGGGAAGTAATGGAACTGGTAATCCATTACCCTCTAATGCTGAAACTCATAAAGAGCACGATTCGGCATCTTTTAAGGATCAAATCTCTCCTTAAATTCGAGGTACAAATAGAAAAAATGCTCATTATTTTCATCATGCCTAATTTCTCTCGATGGCTCTGAAACATTTTAAGCTGAGTGCGTCGGCGTGTAGTGATTAAACAATTAGATAAGGAAACTAACTCTTGAATATTTAATACTTGGACGCAAATTCTTGGTTTGGTATCGAGTTTGATGAACATATACAGTTTATGCAGTTCTGTTGTTTTAGTTTGGTTTCTTTTGTGCTATCAAATTACCACTTGCTTGGAAATCTGAATAGTTGAAGTTGGTTTTGACCGGTCGAATTAGTTCAGTTCTTTGGATAAGTTCCAAATAATTTGTTTATGCTCCTGAATCTTAATTAGTCAACTGACCAAATGTGGTAAAAAAGGCTAAAGTAATTCGAAAATACCCACTAAATAAAAATATTTTTCAATCTACCGTATGTCGGGAGAGAGGAAGCCGATTTTGCAGAAAGTCGGCATCCACTAGGCCACATTCATTCATTGATTTCTTTTTTTTTTTTTTTTTTTTTTTTTAAATTTAACTAAAAGTCAGTGGGCATCCACTAGGCCACATTCATTCATTGATTTCTTTTTTTTTTTTTTTTTTTAAAAAATTTAACCGACTTTAACTCTAAATGTTTTTTAAATTTGTTTTTCTTAAAGAAATCGACTGGGCAAAAGCCGATATCAAAAGAACATGTGACAATATCTGAAATAATTCACCAGTACCCACACTTACGTCTACTAGGTCCAAGTTCTTGTATGATGCATACAATTTTTCCAATAAAAGTTTTTGAAAATCATCTTTAAATTTTGTGAAGTTTCATTTTGCTTCTCATTTCTTTTTTACTGAAAAACTAAAATCGAAATTTATTAATCCTCTTTTGGATTTTCAGTTATTATTTTTTTCTAAATATAAATCTTATTGCAAGAACAAAATTAAAGAATAGCGGTTGGAATCTTAATTAACTCTATAAATAGTAGGAGTATACTAACATTACTTGTGGAAAAGTTAGTACGTTACTTGCACATGGAGAATGACGAAGATAGGTACACGGGCCGGGGTTTCGTCGGTGATTTTGATGGTTGCTTAGCATAAGTAAATAATAATGTTAGCGTTGCTAACAAATAATTTCATTACATCTTTGATGAAATACTAAATAATAGTAATATGTTTTCAATTACAATTGAATAATGCCATATTTAACATGCATGAAAGTTTTGAAAAGTGCACTCGTCCAAGAACTTGTCCCCAATAGTTCAGTTCGGCGAGTTATTTCAGATTTGGTATTTCTTTTAATAGATCTTTTAAAGTCGAAAAACATTTATGGTTACAATCGGTCTCGGTCTCGTACTTACCCACTTTTGATAATAGTCATAAACAATTTCCAATAAAGTCGGTTTTGGTGAGTGCCGATTTTTTTAGTTCAATAAGCTTCCTCGCGCCCGAATTACCGTAGTTGGGAAATTTTATTTAGTAAATAACCTTCGCAGCCAAACTTACGGTTGGATCAGTCAATTGATAACGTCCGCATAAGATGCTAATAAATAGACATATTAAAGCTTTTCTTATAAAGGCTCGACAAAGATATGGACGGAAGAGGAAAACTGTGGCGACGTTTATAATTTGAACCACTTTCAAAGTCGTTTATGCCATAAATTTCTAATCATAGTGTGTGAGAACTGCTTAGATACACTTGTCGGACGATTTTTCAGGAAATAATTAATGTGCAATGTATGTCAAGAAAATCTAACGGAGGCATAAAGGCCAAGTACAGTTAAACCTCTATAAACTAACACAGTCGGGACTAGGAAAATTCTATTAATTTAGCGAAATATTAAATTATCGAGTTAATAATTTAGCACGTTCTCACCGAGTCGGGACCGGGAGAAATTATTATTTAGGCTATATTATTAATTTATCGAGTATTAATTTATCGGGGTCCTACTGTACAAACGCTTGACGTTGTGTGCATAATATAGAGAAGGAGATGCTTCCTTCGAGTAATAGGGTCTTTTATTTCGATGGTAAGAGGATGTACTTAACATTTGAGATTATGAATATGAAAAATAATTGATTTTTTTAGGGGATAATAAGTCGGGTATACTGTGCACGTGTAAAAGAAGTATTTATTTATGACTCTAGTTGTAATCCACATTAAGAATCTTAGTTCCTGACAAGTCCCGACAACTAATATGATTTACCGAAAACCTTATTTTGCTCAGTGATTTTTGTATTTTGGAGCTCATATAATTTAGAGAAATCTTATACCACATCTGACAATGATTAACTTGTCGAATAAGATCCTTTACGTATTAACTTGATACTAACTTTACGTATTAACTTGATACTAACCAAGTTAGAGTTTGGTAATTTGGTTTGCCGACGGGTTTATGTCCTTAAATGTTTACCTTAAGTACCTTTGTTGTTTATTCTTTAGCAACAATGCATCTAAATAGAGATACAATTTTTTTTTAATGACTATTACTAACATTGTGCAATGCATTTAAAGTGTTTCTTTTCTTTTCTTTTCTTTGTAATGAAGGAACCCGCAACCGAAATAGACGGTAAATCTCCACTCTTGTGCAATAGCTCGCAAACCACACGAGAGATGTAAACCACACTAGGCATAAGCCAACAAGCTCGACCCAAAAAGCGTTGGCAATGGGATTCGAACTCGGCGCGCAATGAATTCAAACTTCATTTGCTGAAATGTAGTCGTATTCCTAGCGTCCAGATTATTATTATTTTTCTTTCTTTTTTTAATTAGAAGAGATTAGTTTAGCTCTCATTTTTCGTATTCTTTTTCTTTTTTATTTAATTCTTCACAGACGTTCTTGGAATAGTCTAGTGTAGTGTAAGTGTAGTGTTCCATTGCATATTGAAAAAAGCTGGAACTGTATTGTATTTATTTCTTTTTAAGTTTTATGATAGAAGCTCTTTGTAGAAAGAAGTCGGTATTTACTGCGTGTATGTATTTAAATTTTCTGATAAATTGGTTTATACTTTTGCAGCTAACAGGTGGCTGAAATATTATCGACCTGTTTCCAGATAGAACATTTCATCTGGCCTTGAAGCTGTATAGTTCCCAACAATTGAAATACCCAAGAAAGAAAGGTTATAAGCGTCTACTCGTTTTTGCCTTTTCGAATTGGATTTTTCATCTGTATATTGCAAGACCTATCTTCGGGAGTTTCGGTACAGTTCTTGAAATTCTCTTTACTCTTGACACTCTGATTTACAATTTATGCTGCTGTTCCGTATGTGCGGTAATATAATCAATTTCTTGATGCCTTCCCTTGATAGCTTAGATCTGTTTTGTTTTGGTGGTAGTGTTTATATCATTGTTGAGTATTTATTGTTCCAGATGCAATAATGACTTAGATATGTGGAGTTTATGTCATTGTTATCGGAAAAATACAGTTTTGTTTCCTCAAGTTTGCACCGATTTCACATTTGGTCCTCATGTTTACAAAAAACACATTTGGTCCCTCATGTTTCAATAATTCAACACTTTTAGTCATTTCCGTCAAGTTTTCGTTTGTACTAATGGAATCAAGCGTGTGCCCATCACTGCCTTAACTGACGGAGTAACGGTAAATTGGCGAAAAGGACGAAGAGTGTTAAATTATTGTAACATGAGGGACCAAATGTGTTTTTTGTAAACATGGGGGACCAAATGTGAAATCAGCGCAAACTTGAGGGATGAAAACTGTAAATTTCCCTCATTGTTATCATAGTTTTGAGAATGGTGTTGTGCTAATGGATGTTGTGCTCTTCTTAGAGATGTTCTACATTTGGTTTTCTCAGGTGATAACCAAATGTTGTCTGGATTTGGTTTGGCCCTAGAGAATTTTATGCTGTGTTTTTTTGAGGTTGTCGGGGCTCGAAGAAACACCTCCAACGAGGAGAGAGCTATATCGAGTAAAATAAGAAAAGCTTTACCTCGTAAGAACTTAAACTAATCCATGAAGAAATAGCAATTCCTTATAGTGATCAACTCTATTGCCGATACAAAGATTGCAGAAGTGTTAGTGGACCTCAAAAAAAAGTTAAATGTAAGGATTTTACTATGAATTTCAAATCCTTAGCTCTCAATTTTAACTAGTTTTTGTTTAATTAGTGTGGATCAGAGATCCACTTACGACGGAGTTATTTGAAATCCTTCCCTAAAATGCTCTTATCAAATCTAAATCCTTCAATCAACAGTCGTACGAAATTCGGGTGGCAATTGATGAATTTAAAACAATTTTTCTGAAGTCCATGACAAATTCGCCAGTCGAGCTGGCAAATTCGATATAGTTTTTGTTTAGTTTTTTTAATTTCCGAATGTGAATATTTGCTCAGAAATGGAAACTTTTAAAGTGATTCTTTCACAACGGTCAACATACGTCAAGTTATGATGGTTGACCCTCGGAAGCTTCCTCCGCATTTGCCAGCCGACGAAAATATTGGCTTTACGAGTTCGAAGAAAACGGAGTGAATGGCTTTCGGCTGGGCTCGTAAGTCTAGGATTGTACTTTATCGGGATGGATCGGTTTTAAATTGAGTTATAAAAGGTCCTTTTATCTACCCCTAGAGGTTTTATCACACACGGGTTGGATTGATTGGTGATAGGGGCTTGTCTTTCGTTTTGAAAGCATGGTGACGACCATGCATTGGTTTCTTTGCATTCCTCGCATTTGCCACGTCAGCTTTTGTGAGGGGATCGGAATTCAGAATGCTGACACGTGTAACGAGCACTAACGGTTTAGTTAGACTAACACTAATTCTTTTGCACTAGTCAGGTAAAAAATGAGGAACCTTTCCCTGAAAATTTGGTTGTATAGCAGTATAGGGGTTACAGAGTTTAAAGGAGAAAAATAAGTTTTTGTTAGTGAATAGAGATTTAGTCAACTTATAGGATTTAAGTTTCTAGAAATTCAGATCTGTTTCATTAGGTTCATTTTTTATTTTATTTTGGAAGTTCTTGATTTGAATATAGGGTAAATTACGGCCACCCCATAGGTAAGGTTAAATTACAAAACACCCCTTCATATTTGAGTAATTACAATCACCATTCAATTATGAATCTTCTCAGACGTCCACCCTTATGGTATCAAATCCAATAGAATCTTATAAATTCCGTGAAATGTTATTTAGTTTGTACTCGTATTGTGCAAAAAGACAGTTTCTGATGCACCACAATTTGATATTTACAAGTGAAGACTCATATCTTATGATCATCTTGTTTCAAAATGTGAAGTTGAAATGGTGTGAAACGGGCTCAAACTGAAGAATATTCTACATAATCTAGAAGATTCAACTAAATTTGACAATATAGAGGTGTACGTGTAAAAAGATTCATAGTTGAAGGTAGTTGTAATTATCAAAAACATAAGATATTTTTTCGCGTAATTTGAGCTGACCTCGGGGTCGCCGTAATTTGCCCTTGAATATATCATATATTAATGAAAAAACAACTTTTTTTTTTCTAGCTCTTACTGTACTTTTGGACTCTTATGAAAATTGTCTACAATGGCAACAAATATTGCAGTCAACTATTTTATTTTTTATAATAGTATTGGCAACAAATATTTTGATTTAAATAGAATGAATGAGCCTTGAAATTCAACTATATAATCTTTCTAGTTGGTCCAGAGAGAGGCTGAAACAGTTGTCTGCACTATGATCAACTGGACCATTTTCCATTCCAATACAAACTTTTTTCTGCAAATTCTTTAGATCATGGTCCAATTTATTTCCATGTATAGACATGGGGAAGATCTATATATATATATATATACACACACACACACAGTCCAAGTTTAATTCTGCGCGTAGAATGGAAATGGCTGTTGACTTGGTAGGGAGTAAATCCTAACCGTACAATTTACGCAGCATGCGTGAAGATGTTGGTACGAATTGTGACCGAAAGATGTTCATTATTCTTCACCAAGAGTTTTGCAGTCTTCTCGTTTTCTTTTTTCGTTTTTTTTTTCTCTGGACAGGTTGTCCGACCCTCTAAACAGAGAGGTCTAACTTCCTCTGTCTAATTTATTGGAATGTAAATTTGCGATTTAGTTTTTGGACGAAAGATGCAATTTGCAGCAAATGCTTTGCTGGGAAAAGGACACGGTAAGGGAAATCGAGACGTTTACACGTTAAAAATGCGAACATGAAACTCCATCCTCAACGTACATATATAGTCGATAATGGATATATATAGTGTTGATCATTTGTTCTGAAGTTAGGACATATTATTATAAGCAATTCTAAAAGATGTTCACTGTCTTGGCTAAAAAACTTACACATTAACTTGTTATTTTCGTATTTTTACGTGCCAAATCGACATTTGGCAAATGGATTTAGATAAATGAAGAAAACAGAATAAACGATTGAGACAATTTCCCTTACGTTTTTTGCTCTTATCTTTCGAAACTATTTACATGCCTACCCCCATACATGTTCTCATCAGAGAAATCTTTCACAACTTTCTTCTGCCAACATTATATAATAAAAAAAAAAAAATCAACTTTATTGTATCTGAGAATCCCTTTGATCAATGAGATTTTTTATTTTAAGGAATTATTTCGTCTAGCGACATCGATTTTGCAAGAAACTTTCCATCTCTGTCTTCGATTTCAATCTTGTAAGAGTGCATTTCCTCCTCGTCAATTATCCGCTGATCTTTCGTACAAATCTTCCAAAATACACAACCGACAACTGTATCAAGAACGAGTACCAAAGCGTACAAGTAAGCGACGAGCACTCCCTCGATAATCATCGCAATTGCATCTCCACCGTTATTATAAGCTCCGACTATTCTGTATTGAAAAAGAGCTTCAATGGCCGCCAAAGACATACTCACGGGCACAGCCAATGACAATGCAGTTGCATTTCTACCCTGTAATAATATCATAACACACGCCTTGAGAATCGAGATGAACCCACCCCTCTTCTCCATTCCAGTCGACACCAAAGCTAAATTACTGACGATGTAAGCATTCGCAAGAACAATGGAGTAAATTACGACCCCCAAGGCAGAAACGAGCATTGTGGGCCCCGGTGAAGAGATGCCTAGAACGTATAAAAAGTTGAAGAATATGACTAGGATGAAGAAACAAGTGGCGTTGGCCGCAAGTATGAGTAACGAGTTGCATAGTTGAGTGATGAGAAGTGGAATGAAAAGCGAAATCGAAGAAGAAACTCGGGGATTTTCTTCGGGTTTATTTTGATCGAAGGTTTTGATTACTGATGCTTTGGCGAGGAGGAGAAATGAGTATGTGAAGGGAGAGACGAAGAGAAACGAGAGGATTGTTTGAGAGAGCTTGAGATTGAGAAGGGAGAATAGTTCCGAAGAGAGAGGAAAACCGGCGGCAAGAAAAAGCGACCTCAAGCGAGCGTGGATTACCGGGAAAACATCCGACGAATAAACGAGCATCTGAGAGAGGAGTGTCGAGACGGCGAACGGGAACGCGAGAAGCGACGAGGTTGAGGTGAAGCATTGGTAGTTTTGCAGGAAAGTAAAGATCGCTCTTCGCATGATTCTCGTCGTGCTTGTTGTTGTTGTTGTTCTTCTCCCCATTCTTGATTAGTGTTGTGAGATCAATTCTTGATTTTCTTGAAATGAAATTTGAAAATATTAATGGAGATTTGGTGATTTATGTGGTTTTTTTGAATGGTGGTTTGTTTGATGTGTGTTTTGGTGTGTTTGTGTGTGTGTTTTGGTGATATAATGGATTGGCTAACAACTGCAAAAGGGAGAGCAACAGAAACAAGCAGATGTGGAGTTGTTTTCAAAGGCTTTGTTTTCACCAAAAAAGAATGACTTATAGTTTGGACTCTTTTGTTACTTGTGGCTTTGTGATCTCCAAACACTCAACTATTAGTTGGGGAACATAGAAAGGACACCTTTTTTCATGATTACATATACTATGAGTTGTCTCTCACCACATACACATAATGTATCTATTTTTTTTTTCTTTCTTGTGTTTGTACTTGTATGCAGAGTCGGAGCCAGAATTTTCTATCGAGGTGAGAGGTAGAAATGTATGGGGGTTCGAGGCTAGCGACCCGATTTATTTTAGGATTTTTTGCATGAAAGAAACAAATATCTCTTTAATGTTATATTCCAAAATGGGAATGAAATTCCTGAATTCCGCCAATTCCGTTCAAAAAATATCTAAATTTGGAACCAGATTTTTCATTCCAATTTTTGAAGTTCGGATTTTCGATTTTTCCGAATTTATTGGATTCCGCCGATTCCGAGGCATTCCGAAATCGTAATGAATTTTTGCATTCTGATTTTTTTGGAACGGAAATTAGAACTCATTTTTTACTTCCTTAAAAAAATTGAAGCTTTTTCCCGAAAAGGCCATTTCCGATCCATTCGGTCCGATTTCCACCCCTACTTACAGTTGACCATGTATAGTAAACAAATTATATATATATATATATATATATATATATATATATATATATATATATATATATATATATATATATATATATATATATATATATATATATATATATATATATATATATATATATATATATATATATATATATATATATATATATATATATATATATATATATATATATATATATATATATATATATATATATATAAATTAAGAAAGAATTGTGCTATAAGTTGTAAGTTTGTTGTTGTGAAGTGTGGTGGAATCTTTTATGAGGTGAAACTATTAAGAACAGTTTGATTGTTTAGGGAGTAGAATTTGCCTACACGTCATGTAATGTAACATCAAAAAAAAAAAAGAGAGCTTGGGAATTAAGGTAGGCTTTTTGGTGCAATTGCTTGGAAATTAAAAATAGGTTCTTTTTATGCTACCTTAGAATAGACTCTTAGAATGCAATAAAACTAATTATTTTTCCATTAGGAAATCACATTATAAGGAGCTTAATTAAGACTATGCCTTCAAGTTAAGGTAAGGTTGTTTAAATTTTGAATCCTTTCTCTTATTAGTTTCTGAGTTTTTAGTTTTAAACCGGAATTACTTAGGCTATTAAAAAAAATGCTACATCTGGTGAAAATTATCGGGTGATTTTGCACCATATAAATTTATAAAAATAACTACCCACGAAACACATGAGAATGTGTGTATTATGTGTAGATTAATGATACATAATCACCCGATGTATTTCACCGAATGTAGCACCTACAAAACCAGTATTGGGTTCAAATCTTTCTCATTTATATCGTTTCAAATCATTCAGTCCAAATGAACCTACGAAAATTGTCATTATTGAATAAGAAAATTTTCTCAAATACCAGAAATAATTGTTTTGTGTAAAACAATTAAAATTACCTCTATACCCTTTCTCAAAATCATTGTTTTTTGTTTCAATTAAACAGTTGGACCCTATACATCAAGTCATAAAATATTATAATCAGAAAAGAGAAGAAAACCCTAAATAATTAGTATTTAAAAGTTTTTTATGTCAATAAGCAATTATTATGGGCATCAAATAATTAGTAGTGTAAAATAGGCTCAAGAGAGATGCACTTAGATCACCATCACATTTTAAATTGCGCTACCAACCTATCAACTAATTAATTAATTAATTAGTTGATGACGACGGTGAGAAGTCATAATAGAGTTTGGTAATATATGAAAATTTGGTCGACTAAATTTGCAAGTAAATCGTATTTTATTTATTTTTAATCAGATTTATTAATCCAAGAGGATTAGGAGGAGTAAACAATTACATGTTGTTTTTCTCAAATAAAAAAAAGAAGTACATATTATTTTCCTTTTTGAGTGAAATATTTGTCTTTACATAATAATACAAATCGCGTTAAAAAGTTTAATCTTAATTGAGAAATAAAACAAAAAAATCATGAAAGATGATTTTAAATAGGGAAAATTAGCTGGAGGTTCCTCAGAAATATTCTCTATAGGTATAACGACACGCACATTTTGCTATTTTGCTAAAATTCTCTATGTGCTCCCCCTCTAACGAAACTGTTGAGGAAAACTTACAGTAATGGTGACACGATGATTTGCACAACTTAGTTATATTAATAAGCAACAGTTTAGTTAAAATACAACGACAAAAAACTGAAATAAGAATTACTAATGAGGCTAGGAACCTTAGATCTTTTACCCTATTGGTAAGGTTAGGTACCAACTCTACTAATGAGGATTACCTAATAAGTTGTTTTAAGAGCAAATAAGTTGTTGCGTCTTATTTTTAGAATTAATTTTTAAAGTGTTTGGATAATAATCTTATAAGCTATTTTAACTCATTATAAGATCTTAAATAAAACACATAAAAATTTGCTCTAAAACAACTTATTTTTTGAATTTTTAAAAAAATTCTTAAAAAAATTACCAAATACTTTGGAAGAGCTTATATCATCTTAAACATCTTATAATTTTTTTTAATATCTTATAAGTTTAGCCCAAAACCCTCTAAACAAGTAAAATAAAAATAAGAGCTAATTACAGTTTATACCCCTGAATTATGGTGGTGGTAACACTTGCCCCCTAATGTTATAAAAGTAACACTTACCCCCTTGATACTAATTTTGCTGACGTGGCATTGATTTTTTGATGCATTTACAGTTTTTGTGCTTTTCTTCCGATAATACCCTCAAGCTTCAACCATTAATATTATATATGAGATGATATAAAATATATTTTCTTCACAATTTTTTTTAAATACAATTTCACACACCGAAAAATGTCCTGTTCCCTCGAAGAGAAAAAAAAAAGGAGAATAATGATTTCAATAAATTTCACTTTATTATTAGTTAAAAATATATATCTAATTATTCTTCAAAATAATAAACAATTAAGTATACAAACTCACATATAAAATGAATTATTGCCATAAAAAAATCAACCTACTCAAGGAAAATATTCAATCATAAAATATTCATAAACTATTTTTATTACTGAATAGTTAAAATAAAAATTAATTAAGTAAGTAGTAATTTTATTTGTAGTGACAATTATCATGTGTCTACATTACACTAACTGTTGGAACTTGGGCTGCACTTTAACGATTGATCACATAATTGGCGGATTGAAGCTCGTCCTCTATTTTCTCTCTCTTTTCTTAGCTGATAATTAGTTGCAATAATATACACAAGAATATGAAGATAGGCAAGGTGAGACACGGACTAGGTCGCTTTCTTAAGATGAATTTCACGATCCCTTCTCTAATGAGGTGCAAAAAGGTGATGATCGTGTCGCCTATGGGATACAACAGCCCAGCATATCTCTCCGTTGTAACTTCACCGAAATTGCACGTTCAAGTGAAGTAGAAGCTTACACCCGACACACAACAAGAACTCAAGATATATGTATATAGTATAGATGAAAACTGTTTCTTTTTCTGTTCACTCTTCTTCCTTGCAAATTCACAAAGTCCCATTTTTATAGTATAAAATATGACCACCGTAAAACCTCTATTTAATATAGAATTAAAGTAAAATAAAATATTGAGGTTTTATGAGACAAAATAAAGTCTTTTGAGATTTCAAAATATTGCTCTAAATGACCTCATAAATTGGTCAAATAAAATATTATTTTTATTAAAAAATCCCAACACTAACTATTTTTAACTATTCTATAAGCCTACTTGAGTTTTTATCTCTTACAATTTCACCTATTAAGGCACTCTCTTTCAGTTTATACTATTTAATAAATTAGCTTAATTTGCAATTCTTTTTCTTTTCAACTATTTCGTGAAATAATAAATAGACAGTTTTTAAGAACTCAACATATTGTGACATCGTTAAGGATTTTAGTGATAATTGTTCCACAATTCTTTATTAATAGAATTAGTGTATTATTTTAAGATTTAGACCATAAATTAAATGTACTTGTTTAGGTATTAGAAAAATTAAGAGGATAGGTTTTACATAATATACTTTGCAAATATGTATTTAAACCAAAAAAAAAAACAAACTAAAATGATACCTTTTATACTAAAGGGTAATTGTGTCATTTGCTTGCAAAAGTGACAAAACGGAGAAAATTTAAACTATGGCAAAATTCTAGGAGGGTAAGTGTTACTTTTGTAACATTGGGGGACAAGTGTTACCACCACCATACTTCAGGGGTGTAAACTGTAATTAGCCCTAAAATTAACAACATAAGCTATCAATTATTTGTTAGGAGAATTAGCAATCAATATTTGATCCCTTGAATTGTAAGCAAAAGCCTCATCATTGAATATCGTTTTATTTCTCATTTCTTATATGGGGCTCTTTGAGAAAACCCCCTCACTACTTTTTTTAATTGAGGGAGGCCCAAAATATTTTAGTCCATTTGAGAAAAGTCCACACCCATTTTCAGCCATTATGCTTTCCAGCTTTGCCCCCGCCCGCCACATCATCACTGGGTCACGCTCAGCAATTTTTTTTTTTTCCGTTTTTTTGCTCTATCTGTTTCCTTAATCGACTATGCAGCATAGTCGATTAGCCTTAATCGACTATGCTTCATAGTCGATTAAGGAAATTATTTAATTATTTTTTTTTGTTTTTAATTTTTGTTTTATATCAGGTATAGTAATCGACTATGATGTGAAGCATAGTCGATTAAGAAT